ACTTGGAGATCTGTCTGTTCAGTTGCCTGTATGCTGTCAAATCTGTTGAAGAATGTAGCTTCATCTCCCGTCTAACAGCCATGAGATTAAGAGTGTGATCGGAGAGGTTTTGTGTTCTTCTGCGGCGGGTCTTGCAGAACTTAGCTCCGACCGCATGGACAGTTTCCACGAGCTTGTCATTCAAATCGTCCACTTCATTGCAGTCTTCTAGGCACTGAAAACGGTTTTGTAACTCGAGCTGAAAGGTTTCGGGACTTTGGATTAGAGCACGAGGGGGACGGAGCGTTGACTTCGTTAGACGAGACCTCTCCAACTTAACGTTTAGGTTCAGTGTGCCTCTAACCATTCGGTGATCGCTGCTGGTTTTCACCCTCGCGATCACTGAGACATCACTGAACAGTTGTCGTCTGGTCGTCATAATGAAGTCAATCTCATTTTTTGTCGAACCGTCGGGGCTCGACCAGGTCCACTTCCTGTGGGGCCGCTTCTGGAAGAAAGAGTTCATCATAAAGAGTCCCTCTTTCTCCATGAAGTCGGCCAGCTGCTGGCCCCTTGGGTTCCGTTGCCCTATTCCAAATTTTCCCACTTTCAGCTCACCGTTCTCTCTTGTGCCTAGGTTTGCATTGAAGTCTCCCATTATCACCGTATATTGGGTTTTGGAGGAATGCATGGCTCTAGAGATATCCTCATACATTTCCTCCACCTCCAGATCGGGGTGTGCCGAGGTTGGTGCGTAAACCTGTATGACCTTCAGCGAATAGGTGATTCTGAGTATAAGGTACGCAACCCTCGTCGACACACTCTCAATCTTTACAACGTTGTTAACGAGAGGCTTGTGGACGATAAATCCGACACTTCCTTGGGACAGATGGTCGCCCTCCCGGTAATAGAGCAAGTTGCCGGATTCGAGGATTACCGTGTCCTCCCCCTCTCTTCGGACTTCGGATAATCCTATAATATGCCAGCGTAACTTGTCTATCTCGTCTTCCAGCTCCACAATCTTCTCGTCAGTCCTCAGGGTGCGTGCGTCATATGTTGCCAGGTCGAGTCGTCGTAGGTGGCAACCGAACCTCCACCGGAGATTCTTAGCACCCCCTGTTATATAATCACATCTAAATAATTGTATAAACTCAAGAAATGCAGTTCGCATGCTGCTATGATCTCAACGTCCTCCATGTTCACGTCATCATCATCATCATTATCTTTACAGCCCTTCACAAGCCCACTGCTGAACACAGGCCTCCCTCAAGGAATGCCACAAAGTGCGGTATTGAGCCACCTGCATCCATCGATTTCTTGCATGTCTTACCAGGTCGTTACTACATCTAGGGACGCCCTCCGTTTCATCTACCGGTACGAAGCTACCACTCGAAAACCTTTTTTCCCCATCGGTTGTAGGTTCTTCGAGCTATATGGCTGGCACATTACGACTTCAGCTTAATAATCCGTTGGGCTATGTCAGTTACTCTGGTTGTACTACGGATATCCTCATTTTTAAGTATTTCCCAGAGGAACCCCGAAATGACTAAATTGATAATTGCATTTTTAAGTGCTGTTCTTTCTACAGCCATCCCGCTCGCCAAGCGTGGCAACTATGGCTATATACCCTCCTTAGCGAAAGTTCCATGTTCACGTGCGAGCGTCAAAATGGTACACTTCACAAATATATAACTAGACAAAATGGTAACCGTTCAGTACTATTTTGTGTAGTTCACTCATGCACGAATGTTTCGTTCGATTCAGTAAACCTGTTGTCAGAAAGCTTTCTCTCCAAATTGGTTTTCATTCGATTAGAGTTTCAATTCGAACTGTCGTTGTTATGAACTTCTATTTTTATAAACTAAAAATTCATTTCTATATATTTTTATTACATAAATAGGACAATATTATCATTCTAAACCATTGCCGTCGCTTTCTACTACGAGCAGAAAGCTGACAATTTTGACGTTATATCTCCTCAATCTAACCTTTTCCTCTCTCGCCTATACACTAACGATGGGCGATTATTACTGAAACTAATCGAATTAGTCGATCGTTCAGTTTAGTCGATAAAATTCGATAACAATCCATGTTTATCGACGCCGTGCGGCTGGCGACAATGACTGACACGGTTACCATGTCAATTTTAACTACTAATTTGTAGCGCAGCGCACTCATTATGCGTACTACTAAATAAGTAGTTACAAGAGTTGGTGCGGCGGACCTGCGGTGCGTTTGAGCTAAGTCTGTACGCCACTACTTACGTTACGACTGCGGTTATTAGGTATGCGCTTGGCGTCAATAGATCAGTTTAAATTTATTTATTTGTTAAAACTTACTTTTTTTTAACAGATAAAATTAACAGTTAAAAATATTACTTATTTTTGTATTGAATTATCATTTTTAAATTTTTGATGTTAATTTTATTGCTTAAATTTTACACATGAAATTTTAATTCAATAAATATTTCTTCATACTTTAATAGGTACAGGACTCTCTAGTATTAAAAAGTATTATTAAGCTAAGCGTATTAAAATTTTTATTAATTCAATATTTACATTATATTATGATTTTTAGGCATCGCGTCAAGCCAGTCATTCATAACCCATGCATGACCTTTCTCTAAACAAGTCAATAACCAACTAAAGTAAACAAATTAAAATATGTATTATGTAATACCACAGAATAAATAATATTTTAATACTTAAAAACAATCGATGCATTCAACACTGTCCCGCACGCACCGCCGTTCGCGGCCTTACGCACAAACACACGTCGTTGCATCGACGCACAGCGCACACTCGCATGCATTACATAGCGGCGGATTGCAGTGTGCGATGTGCGTACAATTAGTAGTTTGTCGATTGTTATTCGAATAATCATGATGAGGAACTACTAAATCGACAATTGAATGCGCAATAGCACAATTTTCGATTCAGTCGATTGTTTTTTTTTTTTTTGCAACAATCGCCCATAGTACTATACTACTATACACTGCATTTCTTTTTCATTGGCTTGTTAAATTCGACTTTGCCGACTAGAGAACATCACGATCGTGATCGTCACGCTTGGCAGGCGATTTGACGATCGCAGTATCGGATGTCTTGCACCTTTGACGCTGTTGCCCGTCGCTGATTTGGATTTTGGATCATTTCCCATTCTCAATTCTTACTCACTTCACGAAATGGGGTGAGGATTCTCTTAAGGCGCCACCACGCGGCCAGATTCGCATGTCGCCAATTCCCTGCATGTTGACGCAAATATTTCATATTTCGAAAAACAAACCCGAATAATATCAAGAGCTTTGTTACGACTATCTCTAATGTAATTGGAATACACGTCATGTAATGTATCCCACAAGCATGGAAAGTCTACCCAGTGTTCAAATGCTCCAAAACGTATTTGTTCGTTCGTTCGTACGAAATTATTTCTATTCATTAGTTACATCAACTAATTGACTCTGTTGGGCACAACAATATAAGATCAACTTCAACTTCAACTTCAATAATGACCTACTTCCTTAACGTTTCGATCGTAATTATGAGATTGTGTGTTTACCTTCGGATGGGCTTACCCCGTCCGGATTTAGTACGGAGTGTACCAAGTTCGGCGTGTAAACCATTGTACAGTGCAAACACGAAATTATAATGATTATTGTCGACAAGTTACTCTATAGATCAGCTTTTACCAATTTTTTTTTGACCAGGGATATTTGATTTGTTAATTGAACAATAAATTATAATCACCAATTTCAACATAATTATATAATAAATTGAAAAGATGCATTCATTAACGATATCATTTGTGTATTTATTGTAAAAGCTACTAGGTATTTACTGACGGAACGCGCGGTGTTGCACTGGCCTCGCGGCGAGAAAATAATAAATGTGTTATTTAAAACGATTACGTAGGTAAAATATTTACATATTTCGCGGACCATATTTAAGCTTTTGCGGACCACTGGTTGGACCATTCGAATCACTATTCTAGATGAATAGATTTAGTACGGAGCGTACCAAATTCGATCGTCTGTTATTAACACTATAAGAGTCAAAGTGGCGAGACAAATTCTGTGTTTATCGCACTATCGAAAATGTGACGTTCATTCTGTTTTTAAAGAACAATTCTCTCGCCTGTTATAAGTACCTAAATTTTAATTTAACTGGAACTTAATTAGTATTACGTCTATTTTAAGGCTCGTTGAATTTATAGTATATTTTTCTAACGCTTTTATTTTTTATTTCAGTCCCGACCAAACACCAAACATCTCATCGACAAGCTTACAGTGGCGCAGGCGTATTTGGATCGATTGGATTAAGTGAACGTTAATAGCAAAATTGATTGTTCATAAAATTGTCAATCTAATTAAGACTAATTGTATAGCTTTCTATATTTATGAAAGTTAGTCCCAATAATGCGATTTTTAATATTTGATTTATTGGACATGTTCATTTTATTTAAGCAACAACAATGAAACAGAAGTGACCATTGACATTTTATTTAATACAAACAAAATATTTTAGGTAGGTAGATAGAGTTCCAAATACAAATTGTAAACGATCAAAATTTTTATTGAATGATTAAAAAACAGCAGTGTATTTTATAAGAACAATATGGAATGTCAATAAGTAATAAATGTAATTTTGTATTTATATCACACATTATGTTACAAATATTGGAAATCTACATACATTTTTATAACAAAGCAAGAAAGATTGCCTGTAATAAGTAACTGTAATCATGTGCATGTAAAAATGGAATACGAGAAAATATCTACGTTTCAAAAGGCACTACTAGATCGTTTCTATTTTTGTAAATAAACATTTGAAGTATGTACATTTTTTATCGTTTTATTTGCTTAATCTGTGCAACTACAAAAATGCAGCTGTGAGATCTTATAGTTATAATTTAATCAAAGTCCTATAGAACTAAATGAACCTTGACATATTTTAGAACTGTTGAGTATGCTTATTATAATACCCCAATTAAAGTAATACAGCTAAAATCCATTTTCTGTGTGACTATGACGAATCATCAAATGGATTCGTGTTAATAGAATGACCCTGATTGTCATAATCTGAATAAGTATAAATACTATTCTGGACGCTGCTAATAGTTGGCAGGCCTACTGTGTTCATTGGAGATAGAGTGCTTTGTTGCTTCGCTAGCTCCTTGCCTGAAGAATTTTTCCGGACGATCGTAGTATAAGTTGGAGTTGATTTAGTCGGCATATCTTTGATCTTTGTTGCTGCTCGATAAGTGCCAAATTCGTCTGGTGGAGGCGGCAGAGAGAACCCGTCTGAAGTTTGTGTTATTTCCGAATTTTCGTCGCTGAGCTCTTTAGCTAATTTGTGTCGCATTTTCCTTGGCATCGTGTAAAATGTATTCATCTGTAAACAAATGCGTGTTAAAAAGAAAATCCAATAATGGTAATTATTTTCTTAAAAAGTACTCTTAAAGCAGCGATCAGTGCAGGGTTCACAAACCCGGCCCTTAAATAGCATTTCAATTGCTATTATTTCATGTCCTTGTTATGTGTTTTTGACCCTTTATTCCATACTTTCAAAACTTATCTCCTGACTCTTGAGTGTTATACAATGAAAAAGTAGATAATAAAGAAATACTTTTATGTTTGCACCTGGCACCAAAACTCAAGTTCCGTAAGGGGGCACTATAAAATAAAACAAAATCTAACCTGATAAGATCTTATAAAGGTTTTATGTATTGTTGGAGACAGGTAAAAATGCAACATACTCGTATATACCCTAATACCAATTATTAGTGTTACCAAGTTGAAATTCAGATTTAGTACCCAAGTCTAGCGACAGGCAAATAAATACTCTGAGCACTGTCGGCTACGTCGGCCGGCTACTAGCTGTTGTCGATATAAAATATTAATTCGTGTTGTAATGAGTAAAGAATATATTAATTATTCACTCTTCATTTGCAGATTAATAAACTCCACTACTGGACTTAAGCCTGTTCCATCATAGGGAATTAAAATTTGCCAAAACCGCAAAAAAACAAACACCAGCATGCTTCTCCATCTCATCAGCATTCTTCACCAGGTCCTTCAAAAGAGTTATTGCCAAGGCAAAGTCAGAGCACGTAGGCATAATTGGCGAGAAACTAGTTCGCCTTCCTTCGGGAACCCGTGCATTCTGGTCTCTCGCCAAGGCTGTCCAAGGGAATTTCTGCAAGCCATCACTACCATCTCTGCACAGGGAGGACGACTCACTGGCCCACGCCGCAAAAGAGAAAGCCGACCTTTTAGGCTCCCTTTTTGCGTCCAACTCGACTTGATGACGGGGGGAACACACCGCCGACCATCCCGCGATGTGAGTGCTCCATGCCGGATGTGCGGTTTTCACAGCGCTCGGTTCGAGCAGAGCACTCCTCTCCCTGGACATCCACAAGTCGAGTGGGCCTGACGGAATCCCCCCAATTGTGCTGAGGACGAGTGCTCCCGAGTTGGCACCGGTTCTACTCCCTAGGCGTAGTCCCGAAATCATGGAAGACAGCTTTTGTCCACCCGATCCCTAAAAAGGCGACCGCTCATACCCGTCCAACTACAGACCTATCGCCATCACCTCCTTGTTCTCCAAAATAATGGAATCCATTATTAACTGCCAGCTCATGCGGTACCTTGAGGATCACCAGCTGATTAGTGACCGCCTATACGGTTTTCGCCGGGGTCGATCAGCTGGTCTACCTGACTCATAGATGGGCGGAGGCAGTAGAGTCCAAGGGGGGAGGAGTTGGCCGTTAGTTTGGACATTGCGAAGGCCTTCGATCGGGTTTGGCACAAAGCGCTTCTTTCGAAGCTCCCATCCTATGGGCTTCCCGAGAAATTGTGCGATTGGATCACCAGCTTCCTTGCAGATCGGAGCATCAAGGTCGTTGTAGACGGTGCATGCTCCGACTACAAGCCTATTAACGCTGGTGTTCCTCAAGGCTCTGTGCTATCACCAACGCTGTTTCTTCTGCATATCAATGATATGTTGCTAACTGGTAACATTAATTGCTATGCGGATGACAGCACTGGTGATGCTCTATACACCGGCCGTGCCAATATTTCTCGGGAAAACGTCGCCGAGTACCGGAACATACTTGTGTCTGAAGTCGAGTCTCTGCTGAACAAAGTCTCGGATTGGGGGCGACTAAATCTAGTCCAGTTTAATCCTCAGAAGACACAAGTTTGCGCGTTTACCGCTAAAAAACACCCCTTTGTCGTATCGCCTCAGTTTCAAGGCGTCGTTCGGAGTCGACATATCGAGTGACGTGCAGTTTCGTGGTCACTTGGAAGAGAAGGCCAAATTGGCCTCTAAAAAGCTTGGCGTGCTCAGCAGAGCAGGACAGTATTTCATGCCGGCCCATCGCCTGCAACTTTACAAGGCGCTGGTTCGGCCTCACATGGAATACTGTTCACATCTCTGGGCAGGGGCTCCCCTGTGCCAGCTCCTTCCACTTGACCGCATCCAGCGCAGAGCGGCTCGAATCGTCGACGACCGAGTCCTTTCCGATCGGCTCGATTCATTGGCACTGCGAAGAGATGTTGCTTCCCTTTGCATTTTCTTTCGCATTTACCACGGGGAGTGCTGTGAGGAATTGTTCGGATTAATCCCAGCCGCCAAATTTAACGAACGCACATCGCGGCAGAACTCCCGTTACCATCCACACCATTTGTATGATTGGCGGTCACTGTGCGATTTAGAAGATGCTTTCTTCCTCGCACAACTTCCTTGTGGAATAGTTTACCACCAGCGATTTTTCCGGACCGATACGACTTAGGGACCTTCAAGAAAAGAGCGTATTCCTTTTTAAAAGGCCGGCAACGCATCTGAATTTCCCCTGGTTCCTCTGGTGTTGCAGTTATTCGTGGGCGGCGGTAGTCACTTACCATCAGGTGAACCGCATGCTCGTTTTACCCCTATCCTATAAAAAAAAGTTTTGACCACCATTGTACCAGATTTCGTATTCGCATCATTGACGCCCGTCCTTGTCATCGGTCTGAGTAAATACTCGTATTTTGAATGTATTATAAATGGGCCCATACCCGCCTGCCCAATGTGGTAAGGGCAATTCATTCAGAATGCCTAATAGAGCATCACTAAAAAGGCCTATATACAACACCGGACCCTAAAAAGGTGACAACTGACACTGCGAAATATGAAATGGTTATACCACCCATACATTATGGTCCGAGAGCTCATGACGCATTTTTCATGAAGTGTTTGATGCATCATGAAACTTTGTTTAAAGGTATCAGTCGACTCAATAAGCAGATATATGACTGTCTGCCTGGCCTACCTGGGTACACCTGGTACTGCGCATACAGTTAAGTCGAAAAAAAATTTGCCCAAAAAAAAGTGTTTGATTCAAATAATAATAATGACTATCCGTTAGCTAAGTTTATAAACAATTAAGAAAAAAAAATGGCAGACACTTCTGAAGGGGTTTACATAGGGGCAGACGACCACAAAGTTGTATTTTCAAAAATTCCAAAAAAAGTGTTTGATTCAGTCTGCCATTTTTACAGCGTGTTTATTATGTACTAGCTGTGCCCGCGGCGTAGCTCGCGTATATAGATTTTACATAAAGAATTTGTCGTTTAGGTAAGAGAATATTAAACGATTTATTTCATTACTGTATCAATAAGTGGTAACAAATAAATCATTATCATCAAAGTTCTAAGTAGTTTATGATAGAGCTTCGGTGTAAACGACGTTAGAAGTAGACTTAGACGGGGTGTACACAAAAAGGTTACGGGGGCTACTAACGCGGGAAAAAGCAACATGGAGTTGGCCATATGTGCAAAACAGTCAGTACTGAGGTCCACTCTTACAACGCGTAAATTTTGACCTTGCACTTTATTTACGGTCATCGCATAACACACGCTGACTGTAACTGGGAACTGAACGCGCTTAAAACTGAAAGGAAAGTTACTTCTTAATAGAGGGTTTTTTGGCAGTGCTGCCAGATCAAAAAAACTCATTCAGCGCTAGGACAACACAAAAAGCGCTAGATTTCATGAAAACAGCGCTTTAAAAAAGCCCTAGATTTCGCGCTAAATTAACTACAAACAAAGTTTGTGTTCTTTATTATAATTTATAATTCAAGAAAATATAATCATAATAAAGAAAACAACATTAAGTTTTTTTCTGGCAATATTTTTTGATGTATCAATACTTCGCAGGACATCGACTTATAATTATGGCAATTGCTTTCAACAGTAGTTAGTACTACTTTAAGTAACTTTTAACTTAGCTGTGCTCTAAACAACTGACTAAAACTGAATAAAGCAAAATAAATGCGTTGCCAAAACCATGAACGAAAACTTTAATGAAGGGGATTTCCCAGCTTATAGTCGTCGATAAAAAAATCAAGTTGATCATCCTAAAGGGGAAGCCGGGAGATCCATAGCACAGGGTATCCTAGTTTGGACTCGTCTCCCATGCTCTTTGTTTTGTGGAAAAAATATGTTTGAAAAAGATAAACTGCAATGTACTATTCTATTTGTGGAAAAAAATAATAAAGGTCATTATTATTATTATCGGTAATGTGGACTAACAGTGCTGCTATAAAAGAGTTAATAACCCGCTAGTCGCTACAATTTTGAAATGTGTGCTAAATACACCAAAAAGCGCTGGATTAAGTGCTAGATGCTAAAATTTCGAAATGCGCGCTATACATTCCAAAAAAGCGCTAAATCTAGTTCCCAAAGCGCTAAAATGGCAGTACTGATTTTGCGTATATTATAAATACAATATCACGACATTTCGTTGCAATTTTGTTATTTTTCTTCGGGTTCCGTTGTATGGCTTGGATAGATACAAATTTCTTCAGTAAGTCTCAATACGATTCATCGGCGAAAAATCTCAACACAGCAAATCAGAAAAGTTTGCAATTTGTACAACTCCATCTATTACGTACTTTGTGTGAGAAAACATCCTTTTTTAAATCTCTTTTTATGTTTTAAGTATAAATATATTAATTATTATGGAACGTTTTTTTTACACACAAATCTTTTTATTACTATTTCTGAGATTTTTATGGCGCCATTGAACAAATTCGAACCTACATTTTAAAATAATAGTCATTACTTTCGATAGAATTAACCAATTTTAATAAAACAAAGATTAAATGTAACTTGAAGATACGCTTTATGATTTTCTTAACGATTTCTTTGAAAAAAAAAAGATGTTTACTTTAGACGTGATGCATTCATATAAAAACAGACAAACAGACAGACAGACTATTCTAAAAATTATAAAAATGTACTTATTTAATTATTTTTAGTTCCCCATAATGATTTTAGTCACCAAAATAAATATACAATGTACAGAAAGAGACACAACATGTTATCATCATTTTTATTAAATGTATATATTTAATTAAAGAGAGATGGCGCTGCTAACATCAACTTGATGACTCAAACAAAGCCACCGTTGAGCGAATTCCCTACCCATACTTCAGAATATTTATTATAACTTTTGATGGAATGAACCGATTTTAATGAAATAAAGACTAAATGTAACCCGAAGATACACTTTATAATTTCCTTAACAATTCTTATGATATAAATTAGTACTTTAAACGTGATACGTTAACAAACAAACAGACAGACAGACAGACAGACAGAAAATTCTAAAAATGGTAGAAATGTATTTAATTACTTATTTTTAGTACCCCTCAATCACTTTTATTACAAAAATATAAAATGTACAGACATCTGCTATTTACAGTTTTATTATATGTATAGAAGATTATTTTTAGTACCCCTCAATCACTTTTATTACAAAAATATAAAATGTACAGACATCTGCTATTTACAGTTTTATTATATGTATAGATAATAAAATATTCTCACAAAAAGGCAGACAGTTTCTCCGGGGGTTACTAATTTAAAAATCTATACAAATAAATAAAATTTAAATGTCTGTTTTTAATTTCAAAATAACAATTTTTTACTAAACGCATAAGACATTATATACGATATTTATAACAAAAACACAATTTTTAAAATTTTTGTCTGTCTGTTTGTTCCGACTAATCTCCGAAATGGCTGGACCGATTTTGACGGGACTTTCACTGGCAGATAATTGATGTTATAACGAGTATTTTAGGCTGCTTTTAAATTTAAAAAAAATTATTAGGGTACCGCGCAAAAAAAATAAAACCCTAAATTACATGCGGGCGAAGTCGCGGGGAACAGCTTTTTATTTTATCAGCAGCTATTTAAATAATCTTAAAAAAGTATAATTATTTTCATGTTTGTCAATTGGAATCGGATTCTGCTGTCAATGTACTTATTAAATCATGTGATACAGATGTATTAATTATTATGATTATGATAGGAAATATGGACCATTTAAAAAGTGATTATTTATTTGTATAGATTTTTAAATTAGTAACCCCCGGAGAAACTGTCTGCCTTTTTGTGAGAATATTTTATTATACATAATAAACACGCTGTAAAAATGGCAGACTGAATCAAACACTTTTTTTGGAATTTTTGAAAATACAACTTTGTGGTCGTCTGCCCCTATGTAAACCCCTTCAGAAGTGTCTGCCATTTTTTTTCTTAATTGTTTATAAACTTAGCTAACGGATAGTCATTATTATTATTTGAATCAAACACTTTTTTTTGGGCAAATTTTTTTTCGACTTAACTGTATGCGCAGTACCAGGTGTACCCAGGTAGGCCAGGCAGACAGTCATATACCTGCTTATTGAGTCGACTGATACCTTTAAACAAAGTTTCATGATGCATCAAACACTTCATGAAAAATGCGTCATGAGCTCTCGGACCATTAGAAGTCATTAATTAATTTCGGCATTTCCATAAGCAAAGGAATTCACTCACGCCGTCAACGTACTGTCAATTTCCATAAATTAATATTCATGATGGCACTTACGTTAAAGGATCAGTTTTATAAGAATTCATTGTTCTAGATACATAAAACTTAGAGTTTCTAATTGGTATAAATCTAAGATTTTTTTAGAAATAACGGCTTTACTCTCGTTTATTATCATTCTATTGCTATTTAGTTATGAGAGAGGGCTAGAGCAACTAATGCATTTCCTAAATAGACGGTGCATTTTATATGTAGAGCTGCCATAAATAGCGCAGGCATTACATGATTTAATTACTTCCTTTTCTTCAATTGGACAACAAGGAAATATGCGGGTCTCCAGTAACTAAAGAAGTGTAATAATTAGTGTAATAATCAGCGTCTGTCTTTCCATCTGATTACAATCTGGATTTCTTCAACGCAAAAGTGAATAGATTTTAGTTACGCTGGGATAGTGCGATTGACTAGCGATTGATGGCTTTATCACCACTAACCATATATTCAAACACTGACCTAAAGTAAAAAAAAAATCCGGCTGAAAATTAAATTTCTTATTAGTAAATATCTCACCGGTTTGGAGACATTGTAATTAGTTTCGGGTGGTAGATGCATTACTAAGTGATCGCACAACACGTCCATATCTTTTTTCTTGTTGATATTTTGCAAGGAATGGAGCTTACAACTGGCACTGTAGCGTAAAGTATCGTTACATTTATGACTCTCCGGTTCGGACATCTCGTGCATATAACGTGCCGAATGGAAGGAGCCTGTCCTTCTTACATCGTAGTTCTTTGATGGATATCGAGCCATAGCCCGACGAAAGGACTCCGTGCGTCTGACGTTAAATTCGCTTCCGTCATCACTGTCGTGACAAGTTTCGCAATTCGTATCTGGAATATGAAAAAATTTCTCTCTATCAAACATCACGTTTGATTTTCTCAAAACTACAACCATATTGGGACTAATGAAACAAATGACCACCAGCAATTAAAACGTGTTGTTTCTGCTGGAGGGATATATTCTTTTCTTTTTTGTGTAACAGTTGTATATTTTAAGTAAAAAAAAAAAAAAATAGCCAGAAGACGCATATTAAAAAATATGATTGGTATTTAATTCAAACAGTGTGGTAGCGGCGTAAAAGAATTCATGACCACATTTCATCCCGTACGTTTCGTCAAATGAGACAATGGCAAATGCCAGAAAGATCTTATAGCTTCCGATGTTTGGCGGTACAACTATCTATACGTCAGGCATGTAATACCCACACCGATGACGGTAAGCAGTGTCAAAGTTGCGAGACGTTTAGTAATGCGATCGTTAATTTTCCTCTGTCAAGTCAATTACGACAATACTGATACAAATGAGAGAAGACCACAATCACTGCAGTGAGATCCTCTCACTGCAGTGATTGTGGTCTTTTTAATAAGACTTTAATAATAGTTAAGAAATATTTATTATTTTTTTTATTGAAGAAGAAAGAAGGCATTTCCTTTAATTGTCTTTTAAGACATTCATAGATTGAGATATAGCGATGGATTTTCGCAGCTGAGTAGACGGTATTATATCGTTAAGAACTCTTCAATCGATTAGGCTAAAATCTGATCAAGTCTTCATCGTAAGATAAAAATATATTTTTTATGTACCATTGACGTAAAATTTTTAAATAGTTCATGTTGAATCTTAGATTAATTAAGTTTTGATAATTGTTCACAAAATAATTGGTCCTGCGAGCCTATATGCGAATCGTCTATTTCTTACTATATAATTTATGGAGTTATGCATACCTCTTGCGTAACTCATTCATAAATTATGGCAGTATGGAATGTGCTTCTATTCTTTCACCTATAAAACTTTTTCAGTCTGACTCGGGGTATGTAGTACTATTATTTATTCTGTGCTCGGGGAGTGTAGCGACTAGTTGTTTGTTTGTAGTGCAGCAAATTGAGGTTATCTGGACAGTCGAGAGTATTGTGATGGACAAAAGTTCTTTTGGTGATATTGTTTCGCGAAATTTATCTATCTTATACCGTCTATATAAATTATATACGAGTATATACCAGCTCAACTGTAATAGTCTTCACAATCTACAGTGCGTGTTAAGTGTTAAATGTTAATTATACTACTTGAGTTTTATATAGGAGTGTTGCGTATATTTAAAGTGATTCCGAGCCATAGTCAATATCTTGACACGCACTCTAGCACATAACCTGCTTCTTTCATATGCTTCTAAAATCATGTTAATTTACACATTATTCTATTTTAATTTATGTGCGTAAAAGCGTGTTGTCAAAATAAGTTGACCATGGCTTTTTGGCTAGGTTTCCAGGTCATTTGAAATGTAAACAGTGCTTGGTGTGCTTGTTGGTTGTGGTGAGTGGGGTTACCGTCGGTGTTGTAGGCGCAGAGCGGCGGGTCGCGGTGCGGCGGCGGGCGCGGCGCGGGGCGGTCGTGCGCGCACAGCACGAGGCCGCACGCCGCCAGCGCCAGCAGCAGCACGCCGCCGCACAGCGCCAGCGCCAGCGTCGTGATGTTGCTCACCGCGCTCTCCACCTCCGCCGCACCTGCCACGCAAACCACCACGTCAACGCCCCATGTGTCGCTGTTACGGCTACTGCTGGCACACATAGGTTTAACCAGCCACAACTAATAAGTGCAGTCAAATGCGGTTGGTTAAATTTAGATGTATTCAATTTATCGGAATAACTTATAAATAACTAACTGTTCCCCGCGACTTCGACCGCGTGGAACCCTAAAATAAAAATAGCCTAAGTTACTGCTTATAACATCAGCTATCTGCCAGTGAGTCAGATCCAAATCGGTTCACAGGTTTTTCCGTGATGCGTGTTCAGACAGACGTCATGTTTTCTTCTAAGTTACTTAACATTTATCGTAATATTTAGGCCAATTTATACAATATCTTCATGAGTTATTGCTTATGTGTTATTCAAATATATTAGCTATATAATTGTAAAATTTCATTAAAAACTATTTAATAGTTTTTGCGTGAAAGAGTAACAAACATCCATACATCCTCACAAACTTTCATGTTTATAATATTAGTAGTAGTATAGAGATGTAACTAAATGTCTGAACTAAATATCCGCGATTTTTATCGCCGATATGGCTTTCATATTTTTGAAAAAATTACTTGTATAAGAATAATCGAGGACATTTAGGTATTGATATCAACCAAATTCAAAAAAAATTACATCAACATCTTTAGATGTAATAACTTTTAAGTTAGAAAACTTTTTTGCCGTAAGAATATGATTCCTCAAAAACTCACCACCAGAACAAATACGGACTCGAGTTGATCGGTATAACAAAATGTTGAAACATAATCATGGACGTTAAAATGCCATGTATGACATTGTGACAGGAGATGAAACATGGATATATTATTACATTCCAGAAATAAAACAACAATCTGTATGGGTTTAGTAATTGTTGGAAGACGACAGCAAGCCATCAAAATTGAGGCAGGCAAGAATCGTAGGCAAAAAATTATTGCGTCCATTTTCGTAGATTGGTCACACGCAGTTGAGTTTTTTGGGCTTGTATGCATGATATTATTCTCATTAATTATCAAATGACAGTTGATGATGAGTGGTAACTCCACCATTTGTTTACTCAGTATCTTTGAAAAAGTTAGGAAAAAACAACCGAGAAGTCGCTACTTATTGCACCACAACAATGCTTCGGCGCACACCACAAACAAACAATACAAAATTATTTTAAACTTCTGAAAATGTGGAGCTCGTGATCCATGCCGCGCACAGTCCAGGCCTTACAAGATGTGATTTTTGTCCCAGAAATCAAAGATTTTATATAACGTTTGACATTTACAGAGCCGGAAGAGACCGTGATAGCTTTCAACCAGCTCGTGAAAAACAACGCCCTCAGATCAATGGTCTTTATGTTTTCAAAAATGGTTTAAACGAGTTTTAAAAAATGAGTGTTTAAAATGTAACGCAGAGTACTTTGAAAAGAAGTAAATACTTTACACACAAATTGTTTTATTTATGAGTTACGCAAAACTTTCAGTGTACCCCATGTACACGACATTGATATTCATCACAAATGTCGACACTGGTCTCGTATATTAGAAACTACAAATATATCCAACTGGTCTATAGACAAATATCTCTACATAGAGTCGAAAACAAGTCAAAAACGAAGTCGCTTTCTGCCATCTGTACGCTTAAATCTTTTAAACTACAAAACGGATTTGAATACGGTTTTCAACAATAGCCAGTATGATTCAAGAGGAAGGGTATATGTGTAATACATGCATAGTTATATATTATATAATTCATCTGTCCGTGTATATGTGACTGAACTCCTCCTAAACGGCTGGACCGACTTTGATGAAATTTTGTGTGTGTGATTAAGTTGATGAGAGAATGGTTTAGATTCACAATTGGACCCGGTAGGTGGCGTTGTTGTCGAGATCCAGAACCGTGCGAAGCCAGGGTGGATCGCTAGTCTGTGTATAAAATATAAATATCTACATATATTATGGTCGTTTCGGCACTGTGAAATTACGTGCATAATTCAAAAGAAATCTGTGCCCGTTCCATAACATAATAATAAGTATTTCAATTACTTTGTTTTACCTTCTGTTTCGTCAACGATGCTATCTTTTTCGATTTCAACTATCTTACTCTCTCCCTTAGCATTGAAAGCTACAATAACAAATTTGTAATTTTCTTCCTTTGGCTCTTGTATTATGAATTTCGGTTCTTGATTAATAATTGATACGAGTTGCTCCTCGGAGTCTAACGAACTCACATTAAATTTAAATTTCTGTAATTATATAAGAAATTATGATATCTCAAATTAAATGTTTAGATTAAAATAAAATCCAAATATTTAATTTTTAAGTACAGACCTGTTGAAGACCGCCATCATGTCCTTTTTCACATGATATTGTTATGTCGTTTAATTTACTTTTAGTCGCTACACAGTTTGTAGGTGGCCGTGGCACTGTCTCGTCTGTTACTAGGAATGAGCACTTTGTTTGCGGCAAACCAGTTCCAACCACGTTATTTAAACCCCAACAATGTATAAGTGCTAAACAAAAATATAAAAGAAAAAAAGAAATTATAATTATATACTTACAATAAATTATAATTATAAGCGTTATTTATTTAAAGTAAGATCATGTAAATGGCCTTTGGGACCTACAGTTTCATTCAGGTTTTTATATGGAACAGAAAAGGATCACGTTGCTCTATCGCGAGTTGACTAGCCTCACATCATATCCATGATGTATTTCATAGATAGACAAGATGTTTTCATTTCATATCTAATTATATATAAATATCTCTATATATATATATATATATATATATATATATATATATATATATATATATATATATATGCAATTGACAATTTACGGCGTATTAAAACAATGTGTGATTTGAACCTGTAATGTCTCTGCTCCAGCGCCTTAAGATACTATTGGCTCAAACTACCGTCAATTCTCCCAAAAACTTCGCAACATGATGCATCAATATATTGTGAAGATGTTTTTAAACAAGTTAAAAAAAATATTATTTTTATTACTTGACATTGGCAAAAATACAACTGTGTGAGTCCATTACCGAAGAAAGAAGAAGTGTAACGATTATATAAGACAAATCCTTTCTACGCTGGAGAGGTTCGTATCCAGTAGTGGATTGTATTCGGATTAATGAAAGGGAAGTATAATTATAACAGTATTTCGATGATCTTCCATTCTATAATCTATCTTATGCTACTATCGTCATTATTTTAATTCTAACGTTAGTTTATTCACTATTAAAAAGTTCACATAGAAATCGAAACGTACTGTATGACGTGTCGTTAGGTCTTTTGTACAATAACGTTGATTCTTCAGTTTCCACGTTATAAGTGTGATTGTTTCGCATTTTGTTAGCGTCCACGGTTTCACTGATGAACGCCCAGCGGTAAGAGGTCGGTTCAGGGTTTGCTTTCACGTTGCAAGTTATGTTTATACACTCGTTCTCCGCAATGCCGTACTCCGCTATTGTTTCATCCGCACAGTATGCTGGGTCTGAAATAAATTTATTTATATATATAGTGCAGATTAATATATATGGTGCCTTTAGCCGTGGAATGAAAAGGGGAGATCTCCCACCCGGCAAGGTGTTCGGCCCGAAGAGCGGGCAACGCTCCATATGGTAGTTTGGAGCTATTATATATATATATATATATATATATATATATATATATATATATATATATATATATATATATATCCAACAGTGGTCAAATATGGGCTAAGGAAGAACAAAGGTATATGTTGATTGGCGTTAGACCACGTTTAACAAACTGCAAAAAAGTTTTTTTAAGACAGATATCTACTTTTTTTTCACATCATCCACCATTACAGTCTATAACAGTCCACAAAACCCAGATCACCTTAGGGGGTTTTTGCCATAGTTGACACGCGTGACGAGTGGGTTCGCAACCGCAGCATATTATTATTTAGAGTTGTTATCAGGAAGATGCTGTTGCTGCCCATCACCTGTTTCAAATTTCCTCTGGCGCCTCTTACGACATGTACGGGATGAAATGGGGTAGTGGATATTCTTACATCGCCATTACACTGCCCATTCTTTCAGCGCCATTTCCTCACACAAAATTACTAATGTAAATATATATACATATAAGAAAGAAAGAATCAATTGTGGCACATACCATTAAAGTACGGAGCAATATACAAATACGAAATCTTAATAAATTTGGCTTTGTACGTCGAAGGCATGCCAAAACCAACATTACTGGGCATGAATTTTGGTGAAACTACACGCTGATTTTCACAGCGATGACCAAAAAATATATAATGAGAGCCGCTTTCAAGAAACTAATGACAAACGTACAAACAAATGGTATTCTGACGACGTACCTAGTACTTTTACAACTGCCATTAGCAGTTGGATCATGTGTTTAAATTTAAATTAAAATAAAACTGTCTAGCTATCGAAATCGTCTCAAAACCAAGTTAAAACAAATAAAATTTTCGAAAGTATTTTTAATACGCATTTAAAATACAGAACGATAACTTCACCACATACAAACAGCTTTTATTCATAACAGCCTAAAAATGTCAACTGAACTATGGCTAGGTGACAGGATTCCATTTCTCCCTAAGTGTCCATCTGTATAGACACAACCTCCTACTTATTTCTGCCGCCAACACAGAACACAATTACTCGCTACCGAGAGACCGCCAAGCTACAGTGAGTATACTGCTGTGTTCCGGCCTGAATCAATATAATTATAGGCATTACATTTTAGTCCTCAGAGGTCACAAAGAATATATAGCCTTTTCTTATGGTCGCTTCTAAAGGGCGCTAGTATAGTGCGGAGATTGATAAAGTTTTTATTACACAGTGTAACTTAATTGAGAATTTGGTTTTTAATAAAAGTTTACCAGTTTCAAGAGTATTATAATATTAATACACAAAACAATGCCTCAGTGGTTTGCTCTTTAATTTTTTGCACACCTTTAACTTTTTTTAAATGTTTCTACTTTTATGAATATCTGTGGTTTAGTTTATTTATTTTTAATCGTATTAATATAAAATATAGCTAATAGTACAGGAAGAAACAGTAACCTTTACATTTTTTGTACAAGTTAACTTCCCCACTATGAAATCTGTCAAATATTATGTCTCACTTTTAAGTGTCGCCGCCCTGGTGGCAGAAAAAGTCGTGGATGCCCTCATTGGAGCAGCAAGGCCTACGACATTTTTATTTACGATGCTATATTTACAATATGAAAGGTAAGGAATACAATACAGGCAAACCCAGTTAAAGTAAAATTTGTGGTGTGAAAGGAAATTTTAAATAAAACATGTCTGTAGAATTCATTGAAGGTATATATAATTACATCTAGTAGTATAAATTATAACATCATATTACGTAAATTGCGTATTATTGTGTATATAAAATATATTATAGACAACGTTATAGTGACGCCATTCACCGCTTTATTACGACCGTCATGTAGCGGCACCGCAATCCTAGGAAACCAGAGCTTAAGTAATATAGGGGCTGCAGTCACCTAACTCACATTTATACACAGTAATTAATTTATCATATTTAAACTTACAAGTGACATCGACAGCAATAGGCTCACTGTAAGCAGAACCCTCGTTATTAGTCGCTGCACATACATATTCTCCCGCATCAGCTTCACTTATTTCCTTTAACTCTAATGTCGGATTGATTGTTGCCTCATCGTGGTTGTAGTTTTGAGTAACCAAGTCATCCTGAAATTATATATAAGACAACTTTAGTTTCAGCGCAGATAAATTACATTAAAGTAACGTGCGTTACTTTGTTTTGTGTATTTGATTGATTAATTTGACTCTTAAGTTTTTGTTTATAGCATTATGAATTTTCACAAAAAACTAGCTGGCACCTGGCACGTTTCTGCCGCAGAAGAAATAATTATGGAAATATCGTTTTAAATTTGGAATATTTGTATTGGTTAATTAGGAATGATAATACATTGACAACTTTAAAATAAATTTGTCGTTGCAATACGCGCGCCACTTACTGTAAATTAATTGTACTATGCCTTTAAAGTAAAAAGTAAAGTTGCAGACTATTTACGTCCCACTGCTGGGCACAGGCCTCCTCCTCCTCCTGCTGGGAGGAGGCCTGAGGATTAGGGCAAGGAAATGTCCGCCGCGCTGTCCCAATGCGTGTTGACGAACTTCACATGTCTTCGAATTTTTTTTTCTTATTTCTCAGACATGCAGGTTTCCTCACGATGTTTTCCTTCACCGCCGAGCACGTGGTAAATCAGCACTTAAAATTGCATTTAACAATTTCATTGGTGCCGGCGGGGATCGAACCCGGGTTGCTCGAGTACTGTGAAGCTTACAGCGAGCGGTAACCATCTGAGCTACCACGGCTATGCCTTTAACCATTGCGCAAGTGCAAGCAATAAAATGTTGTTAAGGTTTTACTGCAATCTGATGAACGGTATGGCAGCGCATAATATACGAACAAACAAAAATAAATTTTTATATATTAGATTTGCAAGAAATTATTTTACAGATATATATATTCTTACAGCTCATTAAAATTCCACAGTTACGTCTATTTGTCATGTTATCGCGCTCATCAGCCAGATGGCAATCACAATTTTATCATTATAATTGAGTTATTATCAGGAAGGTGTTGCAATTTTATTCGGAAGTTACAGGCACACTAATCCTTATTCGGTTCGGAAATCAAAACCCTCAGCGCTACAGCGAAACCCTTAGTCACTGCGCTGCCGAGCTGCCAAATTTTATTTATTTAATTATAATAAATTACCCCATGAAACCAGGTCACTTGGTAAACGGACGGATTTGCTTGGTAGCTGCAATTAATTAATATGTTCGTGCCTTTGACTGCTGTTAGAGTGTTATTGTCTAGTTCTCCATCGACAGCTATCTGCAATTGTGGCGGATCTGCAATAAGCGGAACATACTATGTTGTAATTCAATGAATTGAGTTAAAAATACATATTATGTTTTATCTATGAGGAGTTAAGGTGAAAGTACAATTTTTTCTACAAATCACAAGTCATCAGGGTGCATCGCGTGCAAGAGTATTCTAATTTATCAGTAAGAATGAGGATCTTGCGACTGACCAATGGTCTAAAATCCATCTAATAAGGATTTAAAAAAACGCTATAATCTTTATAATATATAATTCTTCTGTTTGTGTGTATGTGACTAAACCTGTTTAGGAGAAGCCTGGACCGATTTTGATGAAATGTTGTATGTGATTAAGTTGATTTGCAATTGGACACGCTAGGTGGCGCTGTTGCTAAGATTCACAAAACATCCGTGCAAAGTCGGGGCGGAACGCTATTTAAATATAAAATGCCATGCAAGTATTTCGACAACGAAATTCCACTTAACTTGATTTTTAATATATTTGCCAGTTACAGAGTAATTAGCTGATGACACTTATTAGTGCACAATGAACATACACATATGGATTACCACAAGGTAGTGTCCTGGGCCCGACACTATTTTAAATCTATATAAATTATAAATGAACTATACAAACTAAGAAGGGGTGATGGAAGGATTTTCTACTATGCACATGACACTGCTGTTGTTTTTTCATCATGGGGAACTGTACAAAGAGATGTTGAATTGGGTCTCTTTAAGAGATAGCAAGTTGGCTGAATTTTTTTTTATTGGAGAGGGGGCAAACGAGCATGCGGCTCACCTGATGGTAAGTGACTACCGCCGCCCATGAACAACCGCAACACCAGGGGAATTGCAGATGCGTTGCCGGCCTTTTAAAAAGGAGTAAGCTCTTTTCTTGAAGGTCCCTAAGTCGTATCGGTCCGGAAAAATCGCTGATGGTAATCGATTCCACAAGGAAGTCGTGCGAGGAAGAAAACATCTTCTAAATCGCACAGTGGTGGACCGCCAATCATCCAGATGGTGTGGATGGTATCGGGAGTTCTGCCGCGATGTGCGTTCATGAAATTTGGCGGCTGGGATTAATCCGAACAATTCCTCAGAGCATGAATGTTTTTTTTTTCAAATCTCCTTATTTTAAATACATCTAAAACAAATTATGTATGTTTTACCCCTACCCAAAGGTCAACCGGGATCACAACCAGGACCAGAGTTTCGATTGCGCATCCATGTATGTAACAGTTCGAACTTAAGATACTGTAATAGTCCTGATATTTAAAAGGTCACTTGCATTAGGTATCTCGGAGTTTTGTTGGAACAAAAATTATCTTTTCATTCAAACATTGATGTGGTAGTTAGCCGAGTTAGAAAGTTCGTCTGGATATTCAAAACACTGCGTTTTTTTTCTTTAAAAACGTTATGTCATAGCAAGCAACCTCCTTAACAAAATTTATATTTCCCTGGTTCAGTCCATCATAGCGTATTGTATTCCGGTGCGGGGAGGTGCTACAAAAAGTAAATTAATTGATCTTGAAAGGGCACAAAGATCACTTATTAAAGTTATGTATTTTAAGACTTATAGATTCTCCCCAAAAAACCTTTAGAAACTTTGCAACATCTTACTGATAAGAAAACTGTATATTCTAAATTTGACCTTAACTTTTCACAGAACACTGCCGTTAGACCCAATTAAATTAAATAAAAGAAGAAAAGATATTGTAGCTCCTTCCAGCCTTGTTAATATTGTATTCGCGAGTCGTCAGTACACCTCTCAAAGTACTTACCTACATAGTTAACATTATAAATCGTAAATTAGAAACATATCGTAAGCCACGTTACGAATGCATAAAAGTGCTTATTGAATTCGAACGTTGACATACTAGGAAACGGAAATTATGCTGAAAAGAATAATATAAAAAAGCTGAAAATTTTGTATTAATAACACATGCACACGCACACGCGCACGTTAGTTTTAGTTTAGTTTTATGTAATATATAAAAATATAAATATGTGTATTATTAAATTTTAAAATCTTGATAAATGTTAATCACCAGGGTAAGAGCGAAACACCCCAACACGAGTACATTAAATTGCTCTCTGGGGATGTTTCACCACTAATTTCTGAAAAAGTTTATTTAGAAATATATGTATTTTTATTTTATTTTTATTATTATTAGTTTTTTATTCTACTCTTTAAGTGTAATTCAATACTTAGGCGTAAGCGTAACTCACAAAGCACAGTGAGGGGCAGTCCCTGAGCGCACACAAACTGGTCGGCGCCGCGCACGTTCGCCGGCGCGCAACACGTCACGCGCGCCTCGTCGTACTCCGGACTGATGCTGAGCTGTACCTCGCTTGCCACTAAACGCTGGGACGGCTCCATCTGACAGATGATGTATACATACATTTAAAAATAATTTCTACAAGTAGTATAATAGAGGAGGATATCAACCAGTCGTTTGAAGGAGCTCAGTTAGAAATACATGATAGTACGACGCCTAAATTAGAGTGAATGATCGATACCTCTTTATTTACTGATATAGTAAATGATATCATTACTGCCAAGATGAAAATTTTAGAATCCCAGTTAGAAAAAGAAATTAAAGCGGCGGTTTTGAGTATATCACAACAAAACAAGTTATCACCCGATTAAAGACTGAGTTAAAAGTAGCTAATGAAAAATTTAATCGTTTTCATGCTGAAATTAAGGTTTTAAAAAGTAAATTACAATATCACACAGGGTACGATAAAATCCAGAAACAAACTTCACAAACCAAGCAGCCACAGTCAGCTGGTAATCTCAATTTCGGAGTAAATATGGGGAGCCATGAAAAATCTTGTATCGAACCATCCGCTATCGGAGCACAAATTATGACAAGTTATGCGTCGGTGGCCAGGAGTAAGGTGGACATCTCAGATTGAAACGACCCTCGAATCCAGCAAAAGAAGACAACGACTTATTGATTGCACAATATTGATAATTGGACTGAAGTGAAACCTAAAGGAATGCATCCGATTAAAAAAGGAGATAACTCATCTAGTATTCTTAAAATAAATATGGAGACTGCTCACAGAAACTACAGAGGATAATTTATTAGAATACGTGAAGTATTAGGAAAGAAAGCTACATGAAGGTGGATAAGTTAAACTACAAAACTGAGACAGAAATTCTGTAACACTGACATTTGGCCACTAGACGCTGAATACAGCGAATGGATTTGGTTGCGTAGATCAAACAAGAACTCACAACTCACAGGGCAATAATTTACGAATTAAGAGCATAAATATTTTATATCAAAACTCCCCACGTTTTCGCTCGCGTATAATTTCTAATTATTTTTCTTAAATAAAAGTAGCCTAAGTTACTCCTTATAACATCAGCTGTCTGCCAGAGAAAGTCCCACCAAAATCGGTCCAGCCGTTTCGGAGATTAGCCGGAACTAACAGACAGACAGACATAAAAAATTTAAAAATTGGGTTTTTGTTATAAGTACTGTATATACTTTCATATTTATTTAGTGAAAAGCTGTTATTTTGATATTACAAAAAGAGCATGGGCGCATATCGCGGCCCTACAGCCAGCGGAGGTGCGCCACGTGTTTTCCCGACTAATGCCGAAACGCTCGGTAGGACCGGACGGTATACAACCGTTCATTTTTAGGGATTGTCGCTTTGCTGTGATGGAACCGTTATTACATTTGTTTAATATTAGGTAGGTATGAAATTGTCGTTTTGTACGGGAGGAATATAGAGTCATTTTTTTTTTGTAAAATATATTTAATTAATCAAAATATGCACCGTTGTTATCTATGCACTTTTGCCATCTCATAGGTAGTTCATCGATCCCTTTACTAAAAAAATCACGGGGGCGAGAATCAATAAGCTCTTTGAAGGCGGTTTGGACTGCCGCATCGGAGTTGAATTTTTTTCCTTGTAAGAAGTTGTCCAAATTCCGGAAAAAATGATAATCTGTTGGAGCAAGGTCCGGGGAGTACGGTGGATGTCGAAGCCATTCCAATTGTAGCTCATCTAACTTAGTGGTTGTTTGTAGTGAAGTGTGTGGTCTTGCGTTGTCGTGAAGCAGCAGTGGCCTAGAGCGATTGACCAATCGCGGTTGTTTAGCAGCTAGTTCTTCCTTCATGGTTTGCAGTTGCTGACAATAGATATCTGCCGTAATCTTTTTTTAGAAAGCTGTATTGAACGACACCGGCGCTAGTTCACCAAACACTCACAAGTAACTTTTTCTGAGTCAATTTTCGTTTAGAGCAGGATTTGGCTGGGTCTCCGGGGTTCAGCCATTGCGACGAGCGCTTCCGATTATCGTACAGTATCCACTTTTCATCACAAGTAATGATTTGATTTAAAATCCCTTCATTATTGTGTCGGTTGAGCAAAGTAACACAGCAGTCGACGCGTGTTTGCAAGTTCAATTCACTCAATTCATGAGGTACCCAACGTTCAAGTGTTTTTACTTTCCCGATTTGCTTCAAGTAGATTAATACAGTTTTATCACTTATTAGGCCTGCAGCTATCTCTAAGGTGCTTTGTGATGGATCCACTTCCACAATAGCCTTTAATTCTTCATTTTCCAGCTTGGTCTCCGGCCGTCCACGAGGTTGGTTCTGAAGGTCGAAATTTCCAGAACGAAAACGTTGAAACCAAAAACGTACCGTGCTTTCTTTTACAACACCAACGCCGTACACATCATTAATCCTTCGAGCTGTTTCTGCAGCACTGGTGCCACGGTAGAACTCGTAGTCGTAAATATACCATGTTTTAATATAAGCAACGCCAAAGAAAAAAATAATGAGGAAAAAACAAATGAATGACTGTTCAAAACTTAAATGTACCAGCTTTTTTTATAGGATACGGTGACAAAGGAGCTGTGTGCTCCTTTAACCATTTACCATCTACCGGATGGTAAATGGTTACTGTGACCCATAGACATCTACATCTATCCTCAATAAAGACTCAAGATGCAGATGCATTGACACCCGTGAGGGCTAAGATGGAATAACTGTTTCCCAGTAAAATGAGTCTCCAGTTCTCTACACTCACTATACGAAACACAGCAGCTTTAAGCTGCTATTTTACGCTGGTATTCTGTGAGAGCGTGGTCCTTCCCCGGTCGAGCCGACCCATTCGTGCTACAACTATACTACTAATATAGCTGCAGCATGGCTCTACGTAAACTAAATGAATTTATAAATTTGAATTTGGAATTCTTAACCAAAGAGATATTTCAGATCAATGTGGTCAGTACGACAAAACGCTAAGTTCATATGTATGGACCTAATATCTGCATCGTGACCGCGACCTCTCCTGACATGTGGTAGCTTTCTCAAGTCGTTCCAGTGACAAAAGGTCGTAGAGGTCTGGAACCTAGTGACTACAGACCTGTAGCGATATTGTGCACACAAGCCAAGGTGTTCGAATCGGGCATTCAACACTGTTTGTATATGCAGGTAAAAAAAATCTGTAGTCTGACGCACAACATGGCTTCCGTTCTGGTCGGAGTACAATCGGGAACTTGCTGCATTTAATCTCACAAGTAGCCCAGCAGTTGATGTGTCCTATTTCGATTTTCGGAAGGCATTTGATAGGGTCGATAATGATATCATGATGGCGAAGTTGACTGGAATAGGCTGCACACCACATACGTTGATGTTCTTCGCCAGCTACTTGCGAGACAGACGTCAGTACGTTGACTATTGCAGATACTACTCTGAGCAGTACTTTACAAGGTCAGGGGTCAGTGAAGGAAGTAATTTGGGTCCTGTATATTTTATTATTATGGTAAACGACTTACCGGAGGTGATCAAGGAATCAACGTGTCTTTTATTTGCTGATGACCTAAATGTAGTTATCGAAATAAGAGATACCTTAGACCATGCTTGACTGCAGCGGGATATAAATGAGGTCATAAAGTGGAGCCGGGATAATAAACTTTATTTTAACATGGGCAAATGCTCTACGTTGTCATTTAACCGATCACGTGTTTCACGCTATCATCCGTACCACATGGCGAGAGAGCAGCTACAGCGCGTTATGAAAAGATCTGGGTGTTCACTTCACAAGTGATTTTTAGTTTCGAGAACACATTACTGAAGTCTGCAAGAGGGCATACCGCAATCTTGGTTTTGTCCTGAGACAATCAAACGGGTTCACTAACATTAACGCAATAAGGGCCTTGTATAAAGGTATGGTAATAAGTCATTTGGAGTGCAACTTTGTTATTTGGGCTCCAAATGAAGACAAGTATAGGTCAATGTTGGATAGTGTTCAAATCAAGTTTGCTAGATTTTTATATCTCAAAGTATATGGAGTGTATCCGGCTTATCCGTTACTGTATCCTACTCTGTTTGTCCTCGGTATGGTAGGATACAGTAAACTGGAGGTAAGAAAGGAGGTATCGCTAGCCACATACTTGATTAAGGTGTGTTGAAGTTGTGCGTGCCAGATCAAAGTGCCGAATGGCAGCGACGAGTGCGACTACCCGCGCGCTACGTACACTCAATGCGGTGTGGCTGAGCGGATTGATTTATTCGGATGTTCTCTGAACGAGTTCAAAAGGCTACCTTGTTATTTCTATTTTAATTTATAAACTTATTATATCTAAAATTACTAAAGTATGACTTATCTATCGTATTAGGGCAATCCTGTAATTATAGTAATAAGTGGATATATAATAAATTAATAAATAAATAAAATTGTTTTTCCAGTGCGTAGTTTTACACATAAAATTAACGTGGCTGTGTATTAAAGGTTGCAACGTGAATGGTTTATCTAAACCAATAAATACTAATAATATGGTTGTGATTAGGTAAAAACCGGAGACATTTACTATATGCATTCCATCTCTTAATTCTAAGGGGTGACACCGCATCTGCGTTTCACCTATAGGTCACAACTTCCATTCACCATCAAGTCAACTGTGTGCTTACTTGTATAAAAAATAATGCTTTGAAAGAATGTGTTAAGTGTCTAAATATGTACTTACAGTTACGTTCTGCTCTAGGTTGTGTAATTGTGATGAGTTGAGTCGCCATGTAATTGTCGGTAGTGGGCGTGCACCGAAAACCCGGCACTGCAGCGTCAAGAGTTCGTTCGCGCGCACGCGTCCGCTCACTACTGTATCATCGTCGTCGCCAGCAATACGCACCGACACTAACTCTGGTGGCACTGGTATAACATGGAAGATGATGATATGACCGATTTTGACAATAATAAAATTAGTTTATTGATTTATACTAGTATGGCCGTCAACGCGAACTTCTTTGAAATGTTATTTTGTAATTTAAAATAGATATTATATTACATAAGTGTAATTTGTCAAACTTAGAGTCTAATAAATTATATTATTATTAACTCTGGATTATATATATAGTTTTCTGGTTGGGCTTTATAAATACATAATTGTAAATGTAAGATATAAATATACATAAATATCAATAAAATAAAATAAATACATAAAAATACATAAATAAATAAAAACCCCAACCAGATGGAAGCCCTCGGCAGGGGAGACCAAACGGCCGAGGGTTAGGGGGAAAGGGAAAGAAACCGGCGGACGATGCGGGCGGTATCGAGGAGCACCGCCTTCTGCATTTGAGCCTGGAGCCTGAGCCTTATTATTATTACTAACAGTAATAAGAATGATCTCTAACACATTTCTTCCTAGGGCCTAGACGGACTCCAGGAAGGTATCATCCTCTTAACCGCCTAGCTACAGTGTCTTTATTGCTATATTCCGGTCTTAACTGTATAGAGACTTAGAAATCATAGAGATTACAGGCTGTGGGGCAACCCATCTTATATTTTGGAGGCGACAACACATCTGTAGCTTGCTTTTATTACGATATGTTTGGTACTGCGACCGTCATTCCACCTGCCAAGCGTGACAACTTATTCCTGCAACGGGAGAGGCCCGTGCCCAACAGTGGACTTTGACGGATTGATAAAGAAAATTAAGAAGATATTGTAACACAGTAACGACAAATATCGTCTTAAGTCAAAGACGTTTAATAAATCAATACCCAATTCTCAAACTTTCACACTGAGAATTAATCGATTTTGGGATAAAAATATGTTGTTTTTTTTATAGAATATGTGTGACAAACACACACACAGTCCACCTGATAGTGAGCGGACATACATTTATCATCGATTAAGAATCAAAATACAGATGCGTTTTCACTTTTCACGTCTGAGGACTAAGATGGAATGCCTCATTTCCAGTATTTCCAGCTGTACGAAATACAGCAGCGTTAAGCTGCTATTTTACGCTAGTATTCTGTGAGAGTGTGGTCCTTCTCCGCTCGAGCCGACCCATTCGTGCTACAACCATAATATAGCTGCAGCGTGACTCTACCACTTAAAAATATTTCTGGGCAAACGAGTATGCAATTCACCTGATGGTAATTGACACAGTGATATTCACATATGATAGTTTGTGTAAACAAATGGGAGTAGTCGCTGTGATAATGAAAAAAATTAACATGTACATGTTATGTATATAATTATTAATTATCAGCAAGAGCAAGATCACTTACAATGCATGTCGATAGTGATATCGATAGAGAGTGGCGGCGTTTTCTCATTATTTTTAGCGAAGCATGTAAGAACGAGCCCATGGTCTTCTCGTCGCAAGGGTCCGTACATTAGGTCGCTTCGTACTCGCTGCTCTGACAGAGGTGTTGAGGAGTTCTTAAGTAGCCTATGGCCTGCCCACCATGACAATGATGCCAGGGGTTTGCCTAGAACAATAAAGTGTTTATTTTCTTTTAATTGACTTGTTTTGTAATAATAAGAGGAATTAACACGCAGAAAAATAACAGTATATGCATCCCGACTATGTTTTTATTTTTTATTATGTTGGCAATTAAGAAAACCGCGATCCTTGTACACAAATTTATTTTACTTTTAAAATAGGTATACATAAGCAAATTATTTCTCAAACACATCACACACAAAATATATCTCTACAGTTTTTATAGAATAAGGGTGACAAAGGGGCGCATAGTCCACCTTATTATAAGTGGATGATGGGGCTGATAATTATACCAAGATCTGTCCTCGATTGAGAATTAAAATGAGGGTGCGTTGTTACCACTAAAAACTTCGATTCTCTAGACTCCCGATACGAAGCAAAGCAATATTAGCCTGCTATTTAACGCTACTATATTCTGTGGAAGCTTGTTTCTTTCCCGGTTAAGCCGATCCAAACGTGCTGCGACCGTAATACACATGTAACGTCGCTCTATCACATAAAACGAACTTAATAATATCTTTCTGTTTATCAGCCCGTACAAATCTCAATAAAACATGGGTCTCTCCGATGGAAGGGTTTCTCTGAGATATAAATATAGGTACTATGTGCATAGAGATAGCCAAGCAGCAGTGTATTGTGCTGTTTTCGGTTCACCTAAAACTACGAACAAATGTACAAAAGAAAGCTACATTCTTCGGTTGAAGTTTATGCAAACGTCCATTGACATTAATAGCCACTTACTATAGGGAAGATTTTCGGCTCGGCTTTTCGTTTATTATTAAAAATTGTATATAAATATCACTTTTATCATCATCGTTCATTATTGTAGCCCTTCACAAGTTCATTGCTTAGGCCTCCCCAAGGAATGTCACAAAGCACGATCCTGAACCACCTGCATCCATTGACTTCCTGCATGTCTCAGATCGTCGGTCCATCTAGTGGGGGGCTGCCCTACACTTCGTCTACCGGTACGAGGAACCTTTCTTCCCCATCGGTTGTCGGTTTTTTAATCTATATGGCCAGCCCATTGCCACTTCAGCTTACTAATCCGTAGGTTACTCTGGTTCTACTGCGGATATCCTCATTTTTAAGTCTATCACGCAGAGAATCCCCAAACATAACTTTCTACATAGCTCGCTAAGCGACTTTGAGCTTCCTCATACGGCCGGCAGTGAAGGACCACGTCTCAGATCCATCATCACTGGCAATACGCACTGGTTGTACAATCTAAATCATAATTCATTTATTTGCAAGAAATATGGTTGGTACACAAGATGTTAAATTAAGTTATAGCACAGGACATATTTCACCCTCATTGTGGCCAATTATTTGAATAAAATTACAATAATAAAAATTATTTGAAAAACAATTTATAAGAACTATTTGATTTACAATTATTACAATCTTTTAAATTTCAATTATTTGAATTACATGATTACAATTACATAAATTATTGAATTATTATAATAGACTAATTCACACGAAATAAAAGGAAGATCTGATATCTTAGTGCTATTATTCAAAAATCTTTAATAGAATAGAAACTCTCCTGGATTAACCATTCTCGCAAGGCACAACAAAACCTTTTATATGGCAGGTCAGTCATTCCTTTGGGTAAAGAGTTATATATTAGAGGTGCCATATAGGCACAGTCTTTTTTAAACAGTTCTAGCTTAGGCACAGGCATTTTGAAGGGCATGTGGTTAATTTTTCGTTTCAATGTATTGTCGTTAGCGGTGAAGAGATGTGGAGAGGATGTGAAGATGTGGTGGTATTTAACAAATTTAGCTGTTTCGTAGATGTAAATGCAGGGAACAGTTAGTAGTTTCTTTGATTTAAAGATCGGTTTACACGATTCCGACCACTCCATGCCGTACAGTGTCCGAATGCATTTTTTCTGTGCTATAAAAACCCTCGTGATGTCACAGGAATTTCCCCAGACAACTATGCCATACCGTATAATGGAGCAAATGTAAGCGTGATATTCCATAATAGAGGTATGTCTGCTTGTCACGTCTTTTACCTTTCGAAGTGCAAAAACAAACTTATTTATTTTTATGCATAAATTATTAATATGTTCTTTCCATGAAAGATGTGTATCGAGAATAATGACCAAGAATTTTGCGGTGTTTATCTGTTGTATAACTAAATGGTTGTAACTAATGTTTAATTCCATGTTTTTACTCTTATAAGTTTTAAAGTTAATTAGTTTAGTTTAATCAATGTTAATTTTAAATTTGTTTATGTTTAACCATTGGATAACATCTTCTAACGTTTTATATATTTACGTCTCATAGATACCTATATTTTTACAGCCCATAATGATAGTCGTGTCGTCTGCGAACAAGATACAATCATGTGTGAGTGCACGTGGAAGGTCATTGACGTAAATAAGAAATAATAGGGGCCCTAAGATTCTACCCTGTGGCACACCGATACAATTAACCCTTTATTTTGAGTCAAATAACTACATTATTTGTTCCAGTATCAAATTTTGCAATCCTAGCGAATTGTTTCCTGTTTTTTTTAATATGACTGAAACCATAACAATGAAGATCTCCTTATTCCACATTTATCAAGTTTCGAGATGAGTATTGAATGCTCAACAAAATCGAATGCTTTCCTGAGGTCTAATAGTAGAGCTAATGTTGGGATTTTATGGTTTATATTATTAACGATGCTGTTTATTTAGGTGAAGGTAGTTGATTTCGTTGATCGATAGTTCCTGAAAACAAATTGTTCCAGTGCCAAAATGTCATATTTATCTAGGAAGCTTACTATTCTTTTGGGCATAGCTTTTTTCAAAGATTTTAGATAGAACTTATATCCGATTTTTTGTCCGATTTTGACCCTTTCTTATGTAGCGGCTTTATTATCGACAACTTAAGTTTGTTTGGAAAATATCCTTGTTCGAAAGATAGATTTATAATGTGAGCCAAAGTTTCCGATATAAATAGAGCAATAGGTTTCAATAAGTCACAATTAATTTCGTCATACTCTGCCGACTTTGAATCTTTCAATGAAATTATTGTGTAAAAAACCTCATTTTCATCCGTGGGTTTTATAAAAATACTGAAATCGTTACTTTTAAAATTTGAGGTGGGATACTTAACTTCATTATTGACAGAAGCAGAACTAGTAGAGTTTTGAACTACATCAATGAAAAAATTATTAAATATGTTTGCTATGTCAGATCCAGATGTAACTGTACTTCCGTTGTGACAGTATTATCAACAAATGGACCAGTCCTAGGTACAGTACCGTCAACATATCGTTTCACTACGTCCCAAGTTGCTTTACCTTTATTGCGAGAGTTGGTTATGTACCTTTGGTTACAAAGCGATTGAGTATTTTTTATACATTTCCTTAACAATTTGGAATATTTTATATACGCTAATTTATTATTATTGCTTCTATTTAAGTAGTAGTTGTATTTTAGTGTTCTTTTGATTCTGCAACTAATTTTAAGACCTTTCGTTATACAAGATATTCCGCCAGCTATCTAGTTTTCTAGTTTTTAGTGAGTGGTGAGGAGATATATGTCTTAAATCGTAATATCCCGAACGCTGCCCAGCCGATTTAAATCCGTCGATTGACCTCTCGATCGAGTTTGGCTTATCTAGTCGGACTTTTTATCACAGGTAAACTCACTCGTCGACAACTTCGTGCGTAGTGCTAACAACGACTACCGGCATAGATATGACATGGACTTTACATATCACTTTAGTAGTCATAGTTGTTTTCATATTTCCGGTGTTATTGAGTGTGTTTACACAAATCTACACAGTTATCCGCTACATAAAGGAAACAGTTATAACAGGACAGGACTGACGATGATGATGATAGGTCTGCGATACGATGTTCTTACATAAAAATCAGTGAACAGATGAGTTTTCTAATCCGAGTAGGGTTGTGCGGACCCCACTTTTGACAGTGTTCTTATCTCAGAGTTTCTATAAAGCCGGCTATAGATGTTGGTCGAGTGAAGGTGAGCACCAATACAAGACGTATAGACAGCCCATTTGTCTAGGTTCGCCATTGCTCGTCGTCGCTCGCATAGCTGGCCGAGTTCAGGCGAGCGCTAACGTGTATACACGGTTCGTTTGGTGTGCCTTGCCACCATACGGGATCGCTCACTATGACTCGTCCACTTCGGAACAGTGTCGTTTTTTCTGCACAAATCAAAGTAGTTCGCCTGCCTCGGCAAGTCCACAGATATACTGAACTACTTAATAACTTAAATGTACACAAAATTGTCTTGTTCACGCTTCCTTATATACAGGGATTGCCACAGGAAAATAATCTAAGACATAACTTAAATTTGCAAATGAAAAATTTAATATTCTATGTAATAATAATTTAAATTTGACATATAATTTTTGAAGAAGAAGTTTTACCCAAACTTAATAAACAGAACAAGTTTGTTATAATATGGGGCGAATTTAACATCAATCGCATTGAAACTTCTTCTATTAATATTAAGTTTAGCTCATTATTTAAATCGTATAATCTTGTTAATTTATTCTTAGAACCGACACGTATTGCTGGGCCTAGTGCGACCCGTATAGATAACATTTTTACAGATATTAAGCCCTAAAAATCAATCATTCAAAATATGAGTTCAGATCACTGTGGACAGTTAGTCTCATTGCTTGCCAAGCGTGGTAATTACTAAAAGTCCTTCCTCCCACAGGAGCGGTCTATGTCCAATGCGTTGATAAAAAAAGTAAATGAATAAAAGAACAATTTGTTCTTGTATAAAAAATGAAGAAATAAACTAACAATTATTTGTTTATCTATTTTTAGAAACATAAATAACATTCGTTTTACTCATTATTCGAACAAGCAATCTATATAATGTTATTTAATTTTAACACATTCACGAAGTCCATCTTTGGTAACAGTTTGACGTCCCGGATACGACTCATCTTCTGGCAGTTCATTGTCATTCCGCTTAAACCATTTGGTGTCGTTCCTTCATTTAAATAACACTTCTTTTTCTTCACGTTAAATATAATGCGAATAGATTAATATAAAATTACATTTTAATTCCATGATTAACTCTAAGTTACCTTTAGCATAATGTTCATTAAACGATTGCTACAAAGATATTAGGTATATTTTGATCGAATTTGTTCCAGCATTTCTTAAATTTATTAAAATTACAGAAGGAATATTGTTGTGTTATAAACAATAAACACGAATTTAGGAAATTTAAAGTTGATGTTTTTGTACATCATATTGTATAACTATAGTACTACAATGATCGAACATATATTAAGATTATTAAGCCAATTTATTAAGATAAACAAAATAAATAGTTACTTATAAGTTTTTCTTAAGTGCTTACTTTTAAAGAAGTGACAAACTAGCACACATACCTTATGGTAGACTGTGGCCCATAGATATCTACATCTATACTTAATTAAAAAATTAAAAATGTAGATGCGTTGTCACTGCTGATGACTACGATGAAATGCTTTGTTTACAGTAAAAAGGGTCTTCAGTTCTCTACATTCACCATAAGAAACACAACAGCAATTTTACGCAAGTATTCTGTGACAACGTTGTTCTTCCCCGGTCAAGTCGGTCCGCTTCCGTGCTGCAACCATAACAAAATAACAGCTATGCTCTATCACGTATTATTTCTACTACTTTTTCGTACATTGTTATACAATGGAGTTTTTGCTCCTCCAGATTTTTTTCATTCGAGTAATTTATGGGAAGCAATGAAATTTCTTCGGCATTACGATTATTATTTTTTACTTATTGGAAGCCACAGTATTTCATAATAATCCCACCTTGTGACAAGTTGAGATAAAGCATCTAGATATAAAATATAAAAAATAAATTCATTGGCACAGGTAGCCAATTAAAAAAATATTTATAAAATTTCAATCCATCTTTAGAAAGGTCATACGTACGTATACGAATAAATCAAGTGAAATTTTGGACATAGTAAGCGAAAAGTAGGGGAAGTCCGGGCAAAGTGAATACCTTAAGATATTCAAGGCTTTATCAGAAAATTTATAAGAGATGGAAACAAAACAAATATCTCAAATCAGTCTTTATTAATTACTTTTACACATATTATAATCATTTAACTTTAAAAGTAAAACAACTAGTAACAAAAAATAAAATTCAAAAAGGTGAGATAGTATTCACTTTGCCCGTACCGCCGGGTAAAGTGGATATGGTGTACGGGCAAGGTGAATAACTAACTTCTAATTACACAAATTTTGAGTAGTATGTGGGGCCAAGGATAAAATTATGACGCTATTCTTACTAGCATTTTGCAAAGCAGGATAATATTTGTGGCTTTCATAGTTGTCCAAGAGTAGAAGTACCTTTTTGTCGGTGCTAGGTCGTACATGTTCTACGAAGAAATACATCCAATCAAGAAATACCTCACCTGAAGTCCATCCATTTGGCTTACAAGTAGGTACCTTGAGTCCCGCGAGGTGCACCGTCAAGAAGTCTGGGCTGTTTGTATCTTCTTTCTAGCGAAAATTAGGAAGGGTGGCAGAAATGATTCAGCGGCATTACAACACCCGATGGCAGTCGTAAATTGACCTCGCTCCGCACATGCAATTATACCCACCTGTTTCTTTCATATTATTGATAGTACCTACTCTAGGGCGTTTGTCGGATGTCGTCGAAATACCGGTTTCGTCCATATTATAAAATCTAGATGCATCAATATTGTGTTTATCAATTAAAGATTCAAGATTTTCGTAGAAACATTTGATATCACGTCTATTGAATCCTTTCGCTCTCGCAACCGATGTTGCCTCTGCAGTCCTGAGCGTTATGTCAGTGTGGCGTGACAAAAATGATTGTAGCCAATCATCTCCGGCTTTTTCGTACTTGTCCCAACTTTTTAGGTAACTCAAATTATTATTTTTTGGCATAGGTATATGCTAAATTCTTATACACATCTCGAGTTAAACCAAAAAACACGGAATCTATGTCTTTGAGACAGCTCATTAATTCTATATCCTCATCTTCACTGAACACAAGACGAAATCTGCCAAGTTTTGGAGTAACCTTGCCACTTTTGATGTGTCTGTACAAAGTTGCATAAGCCAACCCATACTTTTTAGCTGTGCCCTTCACCGATTCTCTGGCATGGCATAAATTTACAGCCATCTGCATGACGTCTTTATCCCAAGATCCTTGATTAGTTATTTTGTATTTATGCACTATCTGCAACAAAATATGAGGTTTATACTACCGAAATTAAAAATCGTAAACGCCGGGCAAAGTGGATATCATATCCGCTTTGCCCTATTCACTTTGCCCAACACGACCACTTTTAAGATTAAGTTAGTTAATATAAAAACTATTGATTTCAACTCCCTGCTCATCATATCTTAAAAAGGCACTTTGATACGTAATAGAACTATATTACGCACAAGACTGATAAACAAATAATATAGGAAATATCATCAAAACACTTACCTCGAAATATTGGAAATTATTTTTCGAAAACACAATTCGCCGTTCTGCGGACGCCACGCGACACGACTTCTCGCTTAAGTGTTTGCCACTCACTGAGTTAAGATGGCGGAACGTTGCTATGGCCAACTGGTTAATGTAAAACGGACAGTTTGGTAATAGTGGATACTATTCACTTTGCCCGGGGTGTTCACTTTGCCCGGACTTCCCCTATGTCGTTGAAATGTCTATATGCTTATAAAAATGATTATAAAAATATGTAACGAATATGATTTACATTAGAGAGTTAAGCTTTTTGGGTCAGTAGAGATGTTCGTTAGCCGTAAATCAACCGGTTCTATGTTTACTTAGTTATTTTTCTACATATTAAAAATATATCTTCACAAACTTGGTAAGTATAATGAATCGTTTACTAATTTTAAAAATCATTAATTAACTTTTATACAAGACGTCGAATGATCTTCTCCATCTCGAAATTATAATTTAAAACAATCTAAAATATTAAGCAGTTGGTAAGCGAAAATTATATCGGTCCTAGATGAAGCAGTGAAATGTGATGTCGTTATTTACTTTACTTTTTTACCCTTTTATAAAACTGTCTATGCGAAAATCAGGTTTTAACATAGTTTTCTGTTACCACGTAATCATTTTGAGATTAAAAGATGAGCAAGCACATGCAAGTTAATTTAAATAAATTTACGCACCTCCGAAGACGACGCAAAATAGGTGCACAGTGTCGCCAACATAGTAAGGACCCACGTTCCTGCTGTTATTGGAGCCCGCGCTGGCCGTGGTCACGCGGGTGCCGTTCTCGTGTATCACCCATAAACGCTGCGGCGGCTCTGAAAAACAGAAGTTCAAACTACAAGAAGTAAGGAAAATGGCAGTTTATTAAATTCAGGTGCAATTTGTTATGTGTAAGAACCCAGTTTGTTAGCTGAAATAACATTGAATTAAAAAAATAATAATATTGAAATGAAAGCTAAGATGAGCCAAAGGTTATGGACAAGGTATTTTAAACAAACAGATGAAAATATTACACTCCACGAAAGAACATCCTACATCTTGATTTCTTTGAAACATACGAGGTAAATCAAACTCAAAAATATAGTAATACGGTAAAATTAATAACGCAAGTAATGGGAGTGCCAATTTGTTGCCAGGATTCGGAATCGAAGTAAGCAAGAGAAATACTAACACTGTTGAATAACAGGATCGACAATAATCACAAAAAGTAAAGTTATAATTTAGCGTGTAGTGGCGGTGTAAGAAAATCCACTAGCCTATATCATCTTTTGTGTGTTGTAAGTGGCGACAGAAGGAAACAAACCAGCAGATGAGCAGAAGCGTCTTCCAAAAACAACTATATAAAAACTGCGCCTACCAACCAGCTAGCCAAGTGTTTACCCTTGTTAGGTAATCTATGGAGAGACCTATGTTCAGCAATGGACTTTGATAGGCTGTGATGAATGAATGAATGATAATGAAGCTATGATTTCATATGCGTAGGATATGCATATGAGATAAATTCGATATAATCGCTAAAAATACCTGTATTACTTCAGAAGTAAACCGCAGTACATACTGTAAGGCTAAATGTTAATGTGATGAAATGTTTACGTAGCGTAATTGTCGGTAAATGGAGTGAATTGTTCCGGTGCTGTCAGCTTCCTCATTATACTCGCGGACCAATTAATAGCAGCTACGGGAGCACTATTTTAGTACACGTTGAATAATCGGTGTGCAGTTATCACGAATGAATTTAATATAATACTTTATATTAATTTAAATAATTTAGTATTTTATACTATATAATACAAAAGTGCTATATTAAAGTACCACAAAAGTCGATATTTTTACTCTTATCTACTGTATTTTCTAAGAAAATCTCGTCGCCTTGAACTGTTGCTAGCCATTTTGAAAATTTAGACGTCGTTGTATTAATGTAAGGCTGCTAGTATATATTACATTCGCCATTCTCCCTGACCAAAACGGCCATATGGCAATACATTTTGGGGAATGCCAGTTGTAGTCTTGATAAAATTTACACATAGTATTCCCATTACCGGCCCATAAACAGTTAAAAGTAGTCTTCTTAAGCTACCTCTCAAGCGCCTGCGGGGTTCGCCATGTTGCTTATAAACGCTAATAGACTTCAAATAACTTAAAAAAATGATTTCTACATGCTCCTGTAGTAAATGGCTAAATTTTTAGTTTTAGTTTTTCTTTATTATAGTTTTTTTTTAACAATAAGTTGTTATTGATTGGTTTATTACTAAACATTCATGGTTATTAGAATAGCAAAATCTACATTAAAAAAAGATAAATATATTATATTCTACAGAATCAATAAAATGTTACTCCTGAAGTTAATTATAACACGTACGTACTACTTACGATGCAGTGGCTTAGCACACTGTGCTGAGGGCCGCGAGCTTGATTCCCGCACGAAGCAAGTATTTGTATGGTTTACAAATTGCCCCAGTCTAGATGTTTGCCCTTGCCTTTATATAGGTACAAAAGCATAGTGTAAGTCCTACAGTTTTTAAGACAATTGTAGACATTAGTAATTATTTTATTCCTTATATTTTTTTAAACTTAAGTTGACGCTATTTAAAAGTTTATTAAAAGCTTTTTATTAAAGTTTAATTTTTAGTGTAGCCTAATGAATATCCAAAGCTCAAAGTATTACATTACATTAAAATTTCATTGCATATAGTCGTATTTCTGCCATAAGAGGTAAAATTTGGTTATCACATTTAAATGGGATGATAATTAATAAAAAAGCACCATTAAAATCAGAAGATTTGGCGGAACATATGGATAAAAAAACGAAACCAATCGATGATTTTCATAGTTTACTAAATCGTTGAATGAAAATTCTATAGAGTTAACAGTTGTACAGTGATATACGCTGCGATTGGGATTGGAAGTCATATACGATTATATTGTTAGCAATGAAATGATGCGCGATTTTTTTAACTTCATTCCTTACCGATAACCTCAAGTCTCAAATAAGTTTTGTGTGTAGGACTTGACTCGAAGTCCGCGAAGCAATAGTACTGGCCGACATCCGAGGGTCGAACATTGAGAATTTGCAGCTTCTCAATGCTTTCGTCCTCCGAGCTGATCAGTTTATATCGCCCGCCGGGAGACAGCACTCCGCTGCCGTCACCGCGTAGGTCGCGACTGCTGGTTCAAAACGTGCAGATAATTACTATGTGATGAATAAGTCATTATACATTTGTAATACGTGTATTTTCTTTGAAAAAAGATAAATTTTCAAAATAAAGCATCTTCACAATAGGAATGTCAGACTGCGTTATGACTGCACCACGATTGGGTTAGCTTGACGAGAGACCACGCTCTTACAGAGTATTAGCGTAAAATAGGAGCATAATGGTTTCTTATATTTACGCGAATACTCCACTCCACATTGAATAAAACTAATTAATAAACGATTTTTTATATTATTTTATTTTTTACATAACGAGTTTTATTATATTAATTAGCATGCCATCATGTTTCATATATAACTAAACCTTCATCTTGGTCCTTTGCAAATGTAAATAAGCTTACAGCACATAGACTAACCATCAAGTGGACTGTGTACTCGTTTCTCATATCTTATAAAAAGTATCATAAAATAATAATTCATAACTTATGTTCGATGTCCTATTTCTTGATATATTATTTATAATAAGATATTTATAAGAAATACATAAGGAAAGATACGATGTCACCTCTGAGGACTCGGGAATGTCTCATAGCCTGAAAAATGATCAACATATTATATTATAGTATATGTACATATATGGGACGTAAGTATTGAGAATTTTAAAAGTTATTCACCTATAGAAAGCCGTGGGCGATCCATCTCTGTACCACGCAAGTATCTTAAGAACATCGCCGTCGTTCTCGGCTGTCACGTTACAAGGCAACTCAGCACTGTGACCCACCACCGCTTCCACTACGCAAACGTAATTAAAATCACTATAATATTTAGTTATTGCTATTATGAAAAACAACACTATAAAACCATTTCAAGCCTATTAATTTCCAACCACATTTTAATTACCTAATTTTCTTTTGCATTTTTGCTTACTTTATCAATAGATGGATGACGTATGATATGTTTATATAACAGATTACTTAAAATGCAATAGGTAAATCAAGTTTGTATCACATATTATCCCACGAAGAACGATTAAACAAGGTACACTCTGCTCCTAAGCACTTACTGAATAGCCTATTGACACAATTCTGTTTAATATAATAAGTATAACTTTTAATGTAACTTTAATAAATAAGTATTAAATCTCTACCTAATTTTTAGTGAATACAGCAAATAATATGCATGATGAAAATATAGGCGGAAAAAGATATCAACAGCACTTTTTCTTCCATAGGTATCAGATTAATTTTAGATTAATAAAGCTACACGCTGCGTTCAACAGCACTTACTGAAAAATCTAATGACACAATTCTCGTTTGTAAGATAACTTTTAAATAACTACATAAGTATTAAATTTTTACCTAATGTTTTAAGTTAATACGTCAAAGAATATGCACGATGAAGATATAGGCGGGAAAAAGATACGAACAGCTTTTTCTATTTAGTTTCTTTTTTGCCGTAGTCACCAGATTACTTAAGGCAATGGGTAAATCATATTAAGGTGGCACAAGTCGCGGGCTCGAACTCGCTGGTGGGCGCGGCGAAAAAGCACGCTGTCTCACCTGGCATCGTGCCCGACAGAGATAGTATCAGTGATGAGCATATCGACACTAGTATTCACGCATGTCTTGTTCGTACGGCATTCAGAACCGTTTGAACAAAAACGAAGTTACACGAACACGATGCAACATCTATACTAATATAATAAAGCAGAAAATATAGATCTTTACTCCGTCTAAAAAAAGTCCGCGATACCATATGTCTATTTTTTATATATAAGCCACAATTAGGCATTTTGATTTTGACAAAAAAAAATGAAATTTTAATTATTAGGCATGACATATTTATCCTTACGAACGAAAGTTACTTCATTATCAAGACAATTTTTTGAAGATAAAGTTCGTTCTTTATACCATGTTTATATAGTACATAGGTTAAGAGATAATGTAAAATTAAAATAATTCAATACTTCGCCTTGACGCGCAAACAACGCATAACCCCTAGCCTAGCCCGGTGCGAACTGAGAAGCCAGTATTGAAAGCTTCTATGAGCGAGGTTAGGTTAGCCGTTAATTCAATCATTATCTATATCTACACAAATAAATAAAATTGAAGTGTCTGTTTGTAATGTCAAAATAACAGCTTTTTACTAATTGCATATGAAATTATATACGCTACTTATAACATTACCATAATTTTTAACATTTTTGTATGTCTGTCAGTCTGTTTGTTCCGGTTAATTTCCAAAACGGCTGGACCGATTTTGACGGGACTTTCACTAGTAGATAGCTCATGTTATAAGAAGTAACTTAGACTGCTTAAATTTTAGAAAAATTATTAGGTGTCCGTGCAACAAAATTAACACCCTAAACTAAATGCGGACGAAGTCGCGGGGAACAGCTGGTAGCTAAAATAAATTCAAAATTAACTGAGTGCTTTTATCTATCTCCCAGGTGATTGTAACAATGATTAGTTACATCTTTATTTCTGAACTCTTTCATTTCACGTTGCTATGGTATTTTGAAAGTTTAATTGATTAATAAGTATAAGAGGTTGATAGCAAATTTATCAAGAATCATTTCTTGCCTACACACTTTCATGTATCGTGTACGTTTTTCTTTAAAACTGGATAAAACCGCGCATAGTATGCCGACAGATAAAATAAAAGTACTCCATTAATTATGACAATTTTTCCATACATTATTATCAAATAATATATTTGATTGCAATTATAAAATGCTTGAACTAGGTGTCATGTCATGCCACGCATCTCGGACACGTGATGACGCGGGTGAAACCGCGAAATTATTAGGCGCTGCTTTATCGCTTCATATTATACCTCTGTGGCTCTATATACCTAATATAGATTGCTTACTTTATTATGTTTAGTTTTTCCCGAGTGGTCATGCAGCGATCACTCAAGAGTTCGGCTTCGAACGTGTATAACTGCAAAAATTATCCAACGGGAACGAAATACCTGAATAAACGGTATCATATATGTTATTTACAGCTCCGTGGCGCAGTTGCTTAGCAATGAATTGTTGCACTGGCAGCCGCGGGTTCGAATCCCGCACGGAACAAGTATTTGTATGGCCTGCAAATAGTTGTTCCGGGTCTGGATGTTTGTAAACTGCCTCCACGATACAGGAGAAAATCCTAGTGTGGAATATCCTCATACATTTCCTCCAACTCCTCATCGGGGTGTGCCGAGGTTGGTGCGTATGACCTTCGGCGAATACCGTTTGGTGATTCTGAGTATAAGGTACGCAACCCTCGTCGACACACTCCCAATCTTTACAACTTTTTTAAAAAATAAAAAAATAATAAAATTCAGACTATAACCTATCTCTGAGCAAAATATCATCCAGGTCCCTTCAGCGGTTCTGGTGTGATTGAGTAACATACATCCATTCATCCGTCCATCCAAATATCCAAACTTTCGCATTTATAATATTTAGATAATAGGTAATTGTAATTAGTTCTGCCTACCTATAAATTGTTTTCAAAAATACTTCCCTGTCTTCTTACTTTTTTATATATACTCAATATCACTAAATGTAAACACAGGTTTTTATCAAGACAAGTGACCCATCAAGATTGTTTTCTTAGTACTGACGTACCTACCTAAAGTTTACAATTTTGTGGCCACGACGCGGTGACGTTTTGTGACATTTTGTTGTATTGTAGGTTGTAGGTATCTAGGTAATAACAGTAGGTACCTATGAAAATCCCACATAATGTACCTTGTTTGTCCGCCGCAAGAGTCGTCTAATAAATAATTAAACTGTTTTGTAATTCTTTATTTATTTATAACACTTGCATTGTGAGCCGTAGTAGCTCAGATGGTTAGCGCTCGCCGTAAGTATCACATTACGCGAGCAACCCGGGTTCGATCCCCGTCGGCACCAATGAAATTGTTGCAATTTTATATAGTAATCGTATATAGACTTTACTTTTTTTACTTTTATAATTATATTATATTACAATATTGTCTGTCGTCCAAAACGCATCATTCATCTCTTTCAATTATATCAATTTCCATGCTGTCTTTTGTCTTTGGCGTCCAAATTACAAAATAGCAAAACTTTTCGTTTCGAATAAAACTCGAATAAACGCGCGTCACCGCCCGTGCATGTGTGTGTAAGCGTCGTCCTCCCGCACCGCACCGGGGGAAACATTATTCAGTGAGATGCACGATAATTCATAGTAACATACGCGCGTAAAAAAATACGAAAAGGCCTTTGGAAGAAGGGGTTTTATGAAAAAACCACTGCATAAATCAATTACGAATAAAATTTATTGAATTCTTCGATAATTGAGCTGTGTCGGTACCGACTTCGTTTTGGAAATTTTACACTTATTTTATTACTAATTTACGCCCAAAGTTGTGTTAAAATTGGCAATAAAAACGAATCTTTGGTAGCCCGTAACTTTTTAATAACATTTTATTTTACTATTCTGTTTCCGTACAGACAAATTTAATAATGAGACAAAACGATATCATGTTTAACTTTGGATGTACACTGTCAAACAGCGTAGTAAAACCCCTCCGAATTTTGTATGGAAATATTGTCGACTAGTGTCACCTTAATATCACATATCATATTATATTATTATCATATCCCTCGAATAACGATTATTGAAACTACACAGCCAATAATATGCATGACGCATTGAGTGAAAATGTAGTAGTACATTATAACTAAATGACATGACGTGATTTTAGGCGGGAAAAGATATCAACTGCTCATTTCAAACCTTAAATTTTTAATATCAAGGTGAGGCCTGGAGTTTAGTGCTACCGCTACCGTTACAGCTCATCAAAAATCCACTGATGAACATAGGCCTCCCCCACAAATTGCCTCATAGGGCGGATACTTTCCATAGTTGCCACGCTGGGCAGACAGGTTGGCTGCCGTAGTTTTTTTTTTTAAGTTGTTATTAGGAAGACGCTGGTACCCATCTCCTGGTTTGTTTTCCTCTTTCGCCTTTCGCGACCCCCACGGGTTTATATGGGGTAGATGGGGGTAGGATATACTTACACTGTCTCTACTCGGTCGGTCGGTGTTTAATATGATTTAATGTTATCAGGTGGCTAATATCGTTGGTGTTATTTTACAATCAGTGCAACTTCAGACGTAAGTGATAGCAAAAAGTCGCTTGAAATGCGAATACCAAGCAATTCTTGTCGTCGTACAATAAGTAAAGATTTTGTTTAAATTGTTTATTATACAAAAATACCGTCGGTTATTTCTTATAAGGTACGTGAGGGTAATATGGTCACCTTAAGCTTTGCCGCCCTATAAACCAAAACTAGGAGGAGGACAGAGACTAATACACAGTGTCGTATACTATAACTAATATAGAAAAAAATAACAAACATGCTTTGGCAATAAGTAGCAACACTCCGAAAAATCAACTTAAAAAAAACTAACTATAGTACATGACCGTAAAAATTGCGTCGGTAAAGGAGCGACTTTTTGACCCTTTATTATTTGATAGACTGATCAAGAGCTATCGTATCACAGAGCGTTCTATGCAAACGACGCTGTAGTTTTTGAGTTATAAGAAAGTGACCGGATGACCATATAATCCTCACGTACTCTATTAAGAATTTTATCTGTATATGCTCGAAAAGCACGTCCAAATGCAATTAGTCCGTAACTTAGGGCTAGATCGGCTAGTGCATAATAAAGCATTTTTAAAATTGACCTGCTAACTATAAGTTATTACGTCTAGATAGATTTGAATATGAATCTTATGATATGGATCTTAATTTATCACAGACAATGTTAATATGCAGTTTTCAACTAAAATTACAGTCTATTAGCCCTAAATACTTGTAACTTCCAATTTATTATGTAAGCACTCGTACGAATGACCGAAAACGTTAATTTCTTCTCTAGGTTTTCTCATTATAAATTAGTTATTATAGTTATTAGACTGTTTTTGCCATGTACCTATTAACACATCAATGCAATACAATCCGAACGTGTAATAAAGTTTTGTTAAAGTTTATATTTGGTATAATAGAAGGCTGTAGTTTGTATTTAAAACTAATATAATTCCGTGAATTATGCTTTTTTTAAATACAGATCTTATGAGATTATACATTTTACGAATAGTTTAAGTCGACTAGAAATAACTAACTGAACATTTAGATCTAATCTTCGTCGTATCTACCGTTGCTCACCTGTTATAATTTCCTCTTGCGCATATAAACTTTTAAGTAACATAACCAACACGAAAAAAAAGTCAAAGTAACACATTGTTTCACGCATTTTTAACGCAGCTACTTACGTCTAATATTTTTTAAAAGCACAACATAACAAAGTCGAAAAATTGCATTTCGGCGCGATCGCGACCCAACTGGGCGCAAGCGACGGACACGCAATTCAATTGGCGCGCTTGTTCGCAATAAGCGGTGTCGTCGGACCAGGGAGCGCGGGACTCCTCTACCGGCGTGACTCCCGGCCGCTTCCGGAGCGCCTGTTCTCCGCCGTGACGTCACGGCCGCCCGCGGTTGTTCGCTCAAACAATGCTTTGCCGCTGCTTTACTAAGGCCACCATCAAATATGCAGTATCTCGGGAGATTCTCCTGTACTGTGAAAGAAAAGTAGAGTCTAAACGCCCCACTGCTGAGAACAGGGGTCCACTCATGTCTGACAGGGTTTTAGGACAATACCAGTATTAATTTCTTTGCACAACCGTAAGATCTACCTAGAATTTTAAACTGGATCCCAAGTACCTACTCTATCCACTAAAGCAGGAGTTCTCAAACTTTTTCAATTCCCGGCGCACTTTCAGGTTTAGTATTTTGTCTCGGCGCCCTAGCTAGTCGAAATACACTACAATGATAAGTACTAGGTAGATAGCCACAAAAATTAAAACATCCACAATATGAAGCTGAGTTTTTATATTTGGATTGACATACAAGAATACATTTCTTAATTAAGAAAAATAGGCAATACTATAGGTACAGTGGCAGTGTGTCGTGTATGCGTTATTCACACACGCTACTCTCCGGTCTTACTCTACATTGACCTTTGATCTATATTTGCTTTTTATTACTGCTACAACCGAAAATCCGGCTTCACATAAATAAGTTTTTGCAAAGGGAATGAGACTTCTTAGAGCTTTTGAAGTTAATCTTTTATAATTTTGGGTTGTTATACGGAAGATGCTGCTTCAAATCTCTGTCACCGCTTATCACCCATAGGATGATATGGGGTAGTAAATTCTTTTACGCCGCCACCAAAGAGTATACATTCAGTTTACCGCCACGTAGACTGACGTACTATATGGCGAGACATAGAGTATATAACTCAATATAGATTATTAAGAGGATAAAGTTCCATATACGTGGAAATTCAAATGTTGGATAAATTAGAAAGCCAGAAAGAAAACAACATGTACTAGCATGTTGTTTTCTATTGCATATACCACAGGTTTATACTTACATTCGTCTTAGGTTGTACCAACACGTTGCATGTATTTATTTAACTAAACTAGCTGTGCCCGCGGCGTAGCTCGCGAATATAGGTTTACTTAAAGAATTTGACGTTTAGGGTAAGAGAATATTAAACGATTTATATCATTACTGTATGAATAAGTGGTAACAAAATAAATCGATATGCTCAAAGTTCTAAGTCGTTTATGATAGAGCTTCTGTGTAAACGACGATAGAAGTAGACTTAGCCGGGGCGTACAGAAAAAGATTACGGGGACTACTAACGCGGGAAAAACAAACATAGAGTTGGCCATGTGCAAAACAATCAGTACTGAGGTCCACTCCTGCAACGCGTAAAGTTTGACCTTGCGCTTTATTTACGATCGTCGTATAACACACGCTGAGTGGGAAACACACTTAAAATAGGGATGTTAGATGATCATTGATGTTAAAAATTAAAACTTCGATGTTTTAACATCGATGTTGACATATGTCAAACATCGAAACATCGACGTCAATGAACCCATAATCGATAATTGGGAACTTGCAAACAATGAGAACTCGCGAAATCAATATAACTAAATATTGCATCTGCTCTGAAGATTAAAAATTTTGTATAATTCAGAATTTCTGAACGCATCGTTAACCTAAAAAAATGTCAGTATGGTGAGTCAAACTTAATTGTCAAGTGTCTCCTGTAATGTCACAATGGTCACTGCTTTCGCTTTATTTTGTAGTGTCGTTGTCGGTTGTCGCATAATAACTATTCTACGTAAATTGATATTCAAGTTAATTGTTACTTTTCCCTTGCTGTGTATACCCACATAATTTTGAAACAATGTGTAAGTATCTACACATATACAAAAACCATCGATAATGGTCAACATCGATGTTTTGAGTAGCCTAAACATCGAACATCGATGTCATCATCGATGTTATTATCCCTATCTTGAAACTGAAGCCTGAGCCGTGGTAGCTCAGATGGTTAGCGCTCGCTGTAAGCTTTACAGTACCAATTCTCCAATTAAATTGTTAATTGCAATTTTAAGTGCTCATTTACCACGTGCTCGGCGGTGAAGGAAAACATCGTAAGGAAACCTGCATGTCTGAGAAATAAAAAAAATATTTCGATGACATGTGAAGTTCGCCAACACGTATTGGGGCAGCGCGGTGGACATTTCCTTGCCCTAAAACCCTCTCAGAAATGAGAGGAGGCCTGTGCCCAGCTGTGGGACGTAAATAGGCTGCAACTTTAATTTACTTAAAACTGAAAGGAAAGTTACTTGGTATTAGAGCGATTCTGGGTATAAAACAATATCACTATCACGACATTTATTGCAATTTAGCTACTTTTAGTCGAATGGAATAATTGAATTGAATTGAATATTTCAATATCTCTTTTTCCTGGTTTTTGTTTCTGATGATTTTTGTGATGTGTTGTCTAACCTACACCCTTCGTTAGACTTGAGTCTCAATACGATTCACCTGTAAAAAATCTTAACACCGCAATTCAGAAAAGGTTGTAATTTGTACAACGCCATCTATTACGTTCTTTGTGAGAAAACATTCTTTTTTAATTTAAGGAATACATATTTTTTACTGTGTTTTAAGTACTATAATAGAACGATACGAAATATATTATAATAGAACGTTTTTTTTTACACACGAATCTTTTTATTACTATTTCTGAGATTTTGTGGCGCCATTAAACAAATTCGAACCTACATTTCAAAATAATAATCATAACTTTCGATAGAATTAACCAATTTCAATAAAACAAAGATTAAATGAACTTGATTTCAAAAATTTTAACCTGCCTTTTGTATCACATTTTTGCCACACCACCATCTATCGATGAAATTGGTTAACTATTGTACTTTAATTTAGTTTAGATAATAAGGTTAATATATTTTGTATATATTTATTACGTTATTTATGTAATACTTTTGTTTACTGCGTTTTAGATATAATTATATCATTATAGAACATTATTTTATATCATTTAATTATGAATTATAATATGATATTAATTTTAAAATGTACTTGATGACTCATCCAACGCCACTATTGAACAAATTCGTACCTATACTTAGTACCCATACTTCAGAATATTTGTCATAACTTTTGATGGAATTAACCAATTTTAATGAAATAAAGACTAAATGTAACCTGAATATACACTTAATAATTTCCTTAACTATTCTTATGATATAAATTAGTACTTTATACGTGATACGTTAACAAACAAACAGACAGACAGACAGACAGACAGACAGACAGAAAAATCTAAAAATGGTAGAAATGTATTTATTTACTTATTTTTAGTACCTATCAATCACTTCTATTACAAAAATATAAAATGTACAGACATCTGCTATTTACATTTTTATTATATGTATAGATTAAGTCTTAAAATTAATTTATATTATTAAATTAGTATCTAAATATAAAAGTCGTTAATAATTTAATTGTTCTTGTTACAATATAAAGTTATTAACCTTACCTGTTTACTACGTCCCGTATTTGTGTATCCTAAAGTTGGCAGCCATACAGTTACCTTGCATTTTTTAATTGGTGAGGTCGAAACAATTGGGTCGCTCTGTTGGATTTACTTAATGTGCAAACTGGGAAACGATCTCGTTTTTACCTAATTTGAAGCTTCCGATTTGTTTATACCATTTGCTTCCTTTGACCCAAATACTGAACAATTTATGTAGGTAACTTTTATAGTTAACAAATTAATATGTTTTAAGTTTTGTGGAATTTTATTAGTTTGATAGCATTTTTAACTATTCGGTCAACTACCTTGAGAACTGTGAATGATTATAGGCTTCATTTGGGTGATTTTCTTAAGGTTATTAAACTTCTTCTTCATCGGTCCGTAGAAAACCAATGCTGAACATGGGCCTTCTAATACGTTTAAGAAGTGTTTGGCGTAAAAGTCTTACGTTTAAGTCTCGCAGGTTTACACTGCTTACTGTCACCTGAGTAACTTGGTTATACACGTATCACCAACTATGAAAAGCCACCAGAACGCTTTGACATTTTCTTTAGTAGTCTATCGATTACCACGACCATGACCATGAACCCACGGGTTCGAATTCAGCACGGAAGAAGTATTTACATGGTCTACAAATACTTGTTCCGGTAAACTGCCTCCATACATATTGTAACGCTCCCCTCCCGCTATATACCTATAGAAAAAGAGGCCGTTTATAAAAATATATCCAAAATTACGTACGATAATAAACATATAATGATATTTTTCAAGAACCTTTATAAAGCTTTAGTTTATAGGCCGTTTAATAAATTTATGGCGTGATCGTCTTAGTTAGGATCATTATTTACGTTGCGTCTTTTTAGTAACTTAGTCCTTTTAGGTGTCTCGTAAAAGAATGAATATTCACTAGAGCAGTCGAAGGCTGTTGACAGTGTCTTATAATAATTTTAAGCTAAAGAACCCCGTTCACGAAGATGGGCTCAAAAAGGTCAAGAACATTAAATCAGCCCTATTTCACTTGTATCAGGTTCACATCAGTCAATTCCTTATTAATTAATCCCTTCCCGCTTGGAAAAGGCTATTTATATAAAAATACCCGACACAAGAGCTTCGCTCTTCCACATTTAGAAAAAATGTGGGGCAGCACACTGCTCCACTCAAGCCGTGTGCGGTGAGCGCCAACCAACCAACGCACTCCCCCCGAAGAGGGACGTTAAGATGGGAGCTGAACTGTAGCCCACAGCAAAATAACTGGTGAAACTTGGCCCCTTGGTCGTGCGTAAGCACAAACATCGACCGTAGTCGTTTAAACGTGGTAG